AATGAGGGGAGTAGGGGTGATGGCAAGAAGAATAAGGCGCCCAAAGAGGCGGCCAAAGCGTCGAAGGGCGCAGCGCCATCTCCCGCAAAGGCGTCACAACCGCGGGCCCAATGCGGCTTCTTGGATGCGACGTTGATTAGCGATGTGCGGGACCGTGATCGGGATATTTCCGATGACGAATATTCCCCTACCAACGTGTGCATGTTTCCAGAGTCCTGGGAAGACGCTATGCCGTCCTCAGTGACCACCGCACCACGGGATTTTGAGCAATTCAGGAATGAGCTCATGGGGATCCAGAAAATCCTGGACTCTCCGGCTCTGGTTGACCTTGAAGAGGTCGACCTAAACGAACTGGGCGAGCCGCCCAGAGAATACATCTCGGACGAAGACTTCGAAAGTCACGTCGAGGACGATGGCATTGGGCCATTTGTTGCCAAGTTCTCCGAAATGGAGAGCAGAGATCTGATTCCCTCAAAGCAGGAACCGCCGAACTATGAGGCGAAGGCCTGGCGTACGACGGAGGAAGAAATTGATAGGATGAAACATTTGTTTCCTCTCTTCCGTGCCGAAAACTATCGGCGAATGTCTGAGGGAAATGCTCCGACTGATGCCAAAGCGCATGAGTCCGGTCTTCTCCCGGTTGGTGCGTCGCTTGAGGACGCGGCCATGGTGAAACCCGCTGTGTCCGATTGCGAGCACTTACAATTTTGCTTATGAAGGTGAGGAGGTCCTGCTGGACCCCTCGAGCAGGACATTTGGCAGAATCGCCTGTCCTGCTGGGGATGGTATCTTCGGGTTTTTCCCGAGATCGCCGACCCAGCAACGGTCACTGGACGATGCTCCAGAGAGGCGTATATGCTTCTAGAGGTTTTGTCAGGTTCCACGAACCCAAAGATGGTAAGTCAAGCCTGGTGATCCGTCTTTTCGCTTATGCGGGACGGTTCCCGACATACTTGGAGGTTGGATGTCGATGCCCCTGGTCTCCATGCTTTTTGAGGCCCTGCACGGGATTGTCAAGTGCACAGGCCTTGACGTGGCAAAGTGGGCGGGTGCTCTCGCACGGGAGCACCCCGCCTACCCCCCAGTGGAGCTCCTAATACGGAGAGTCTGGGAGGAACATGACCCAACAGAGGTCACAAGCGAAGTGATTTTTGCGCGTTCCACCCTAATCGGGAGGGACGTGCCATACAAGGTTTTTCAAGCGCTGGGCGTTACGCGATCGTACTCCGACCGGGCCCTCGCTGAGGCCAATGGATGCAGCGGAGGTCCCTTATACGGGATATGTGCTGCTTTCCATGCCTGAGTATAGATCTGCCCTCAAAACGAGGTGCGTCCGACGTCCCGGCAAATTCGCCATCCAAGTCTTCCCTATGCTATGCGGCCTGACAAGATCTGCAGGGGGGAGATTCAGATCGGCATGGAAGGCGCAAAGGTGCCGTTCCTGAAACTGCCAAGCCCCAATAATGAGGGCGAGTTTTACGTCGATGAACGTGCCGCATACATGGACAAGCGCCATGTTGTCGTGGCAATCGACCTGAAATGGCTGGCGACTGAGGGCGCCGCGGGCATATACAAAACCCGACGCGGTTTCATTGCCGTGCGTGAGGAGCGCACCTTTTTGGCGTGCATGTTACTTGCACCAGGAAGGGGATGTAATATACATCCGACCATGGGCGATCCGGGCCTTGATTGTCCCGGGTCCGCCGCGAGGGGTGTCATTCGCATGGGACAAAGCTCCCATGCATGACTATTGGTGCCCTCGTTGTGCACATTTGAACATGTACGGCACCATTCTATGCAACGGTTGCCACTTGCCCATTTTCTATCGGGAGTGGGTGCCCGGGACTTCTCAGTCTCAGATCAGGCGTGGACAGCCAACGTGGGTGGACGGACTCAAAGCAGTCATGCCCAACAGCTGGTACTACGCGGAAACGTGCAGCTGGGCCCCTCTGATGGCGTCGGTAAACCCGATCCGTGAGGTGGTTAGTTGCATGATCTCTGGTTTGCGCTGTGCGCCATACCTCGTACACAATCCCAATGCGGATATCGTACAGGTAGCATTCCATGAGGTTGAGAAAGTCACCAACATGGACACTCACTCGTGTGTGAGAGCGAGTGATGAAGCGCTTGAAAGATGGGTGGCAAAGCAACTGCTCATCGAGGAAAGCGACACTGGAAACCCAGTTCCTGATGGTTTGACTGTCCTGGCGTATTTGATCGACCACCCACAACACGCGGCACAGTGGGCACGCCACATGACAAGGAAAGGCAGTCTCCAATCTGCATTTACCTTTTATCTTTCTGTATATATTTACGATGCGTACCGCATCGGTGTTGAGGACGGTTTCCTCGTCCCGCTGTACGGCCTAGGCGCCTCTCGGGAGGATGTGATCATGTCAATGGTCCAAGCCGAGCGACGCCTCGCGGACTTCACCAGCGAAGACGCTAATTTTGACATCACCGAGACCCTCAGGTTGAGCATTGACTCCCCGAGGGGCGGTGGTGGGACGATAACGGTCCCAATTGAGTATGCTGAAGCATACATCTACACCGACCAGAACAAGGTCGATATGGTTCCCGCTGGGCAACGCGGTGGCCAAAGCGCCATCACGTTTGCGGATCCTCCATCTGGGAAGCATCACAAGCGGGCGGCAACACCTCGGGGTGATAATCGCTCCGCTTCGATGCGACCGGATCAGAAAGGCAAGGGGGATACTCGGAAGGGCAATGCCCCTGCGGGCTCCTGGCCCAAAGGAGAGGGTCCCAAAGGGGACCCGAATGCAGGAAAAGGTCACAAGGCTGACCAATTCAAGGGTCACAAAGGTGACCAGCAAAAGGGCAAAGGCGGCCTATACGGCCAGCAGTACGGCCGGCGGATCCGCCCGGTCGAGGACGCCGACAGGCGGCTATCAGCCTGACGCACGCGGCTCGGGACTTTCCGTACCCAAGCCCCATGTGCCCCACATTCCCGATGGGGGGTTTCATGCAGCAGCACATGGCTGTCATGATGCCGCAAATGTGGCCTGGCGCAATGCCGCAGGGTTGGTCGCAGTTTCCGCCGGAAAATCCCGGCGCGTATATAAATCCTAATTCACCTCACAGCCCAACTTGGGGTGATGATGACGAGTTGGCTGGAACCGAGCCTTCTCATCCCCCACCCGGGGATTGGAATGATGGGAAGGGAAGGGGACGACGCGGCGGCGGCAGGGGCAAATGATGCCCTTTCATGTTCTGCATGCGCTGAGTCGTACCCAAAAGTGCCAATGCGCACTCGCACTTTTCGATGGTCTCATCGTAAATTCAATCATTGCATGATGACGCATATAGGACAATGCTCCTGACGTCGATCCGCCAAATCGGTTATTCACCGACTCATAATTCACATGCACGGGTGACTGTGCGCTAATCGCGCCGGTCACATTGTCCTGCCAGGTACGCCCTGTTACCGCAAGGCAGTCATCCTCGCCGGCATCTTTGGCCGCTGGCGATTCGCATCCTCCTGAACCGCTGATGCAGCCGGTGAAGGAACTCATCGAGGTGCTGACGTGATGATCGCGATTGCGCTGCACCGCTGCCGGCGGGGTCCTACTCGGACCTGAACCGCTGATTGCTGCCGGTGTTACTCGTGCCGGCCATCTTCGTGTGATCGCGCGCCTAGACGGTGCTATTTTTAAAGACCCAGGTCTTGTGGTCAAAGCACCATGTTTCAATCAGCAGGCCAATGCGCCTAAATCTTAAATTCAGATATTATATCCACGTGAATCTCATGATTCACTGTGGTTGCATTGCAATATCAATTTATTTCATGCCTGCCATATTGGAGTTGAACCTTTGTTCTTTTTCCGTGTTTTGTTCTCTTCGGTTCGATTTGGCTACCGGCGCGAATCCGCCCCATGCCCGTAATTCGGGGTGGTGGCGGGATTCGGGCTCTAAAGCGAGCCCGGGCGTGGGGTTGCGAACCCTGGTAGCCTAATCCTCTTTCTTTCTTGTTTGTTGCTCTTCAACTTCAAAAATGGCCAATGCGCCTTTCCAAATTCACCCCATCTCTTTGTACAGTCGAGGGGGGTGTTTTTGGGGGCATGTAGTTTTATCATAGCATGTTTCCATGCCACGGCCAATGCGCCGTCTGGCTCAAGCTTTTCACTCGTCGACTTTGCCCGCCATCTCGTCGGAAACAGCCCGCGGCGCTCCTCACGCCGGCCGCACTACGTCGCGGCCGTCGTTGCTGGGGCGGTGGTCTGGGACCCGGAGGTGGGTCGGGGTTTTGGTTGGAGTGCGCTGCTGCTGCTCGCTCTGCTCGCTTGGTGCTGCTTGCCGCTGGTTTGCTTGCTTGCTCTGCGCTGTGCTGCGCTTCTGCTTGGTTCATTCTTGTTACAAACGAGGCACCCCTTTTGGTTCGTGTTAGTGCCGGCCGGGGGCAACTGCTTTGCCCTTGGGACCGGGGGGATAAGGTGGTCTCTTCTTGTTGGTGGGTTAGGGCCTGTTTTATCCATCCCGAAACTCTGTTTCAAACCCTTTCGCAATAATAATGCTAATAATACTAATAATAATAATAATAATATTAATAATGATAATAATAATAATACTAATAATAAGAACAATACTAATAATAACAATAGTAATAATAATAACAATAACAATAATAATAATAGTAATAATAATAATATTAATAATGATAATCATCATCATCATAATAATGATAATCATCATCATCGTAATAATAATAGTAATAATAATAATAACCATATCAATAACAATAACAATAACAATAACAACAACAATAACAATAATAATAATAAAACAAAAACAAACAGCAGACACATAATCACACCTTTATCCTGCAGTAGGCCGGTCCAACTTTTGTGACACGCTCAAAAAACACTGCGGTCAGAAAAGACCGCGTTACCTACCAAAATGATTCAAATTTGCCCAACACCAACCCCCCCCGCCCCCACCACCACTGCCGTCGGGTCGGTTGCTTTCTCGATCGCCGGTCGCAGGCGGAGGCGGCAAAGCTGCGGAGCCAGATCGACGCCTCGGTGCAGGCGCTGCCCAGTTTGGAGGCGAAGGGCGCGCGGAAGGGCGGCCGGTGACCCGCAGCTCCCCCCGATTTTAGGTCCGGATTTTTGTTTTGTTTTTTTCTTTTTCTTTCCTCTTTTGTTTTTGTTTTTGGGGGGGGGCAGAGAGGAGGGGAGTTCTTGGGCTTTTCGGACCCTAGGCTTTGCGTTTGGATGTAGTTTTTAGGGAGGCATGGACATTGAACAATGTAACAAACAATTAGAAAAGGTGGTAATATGTTGGTGTCCGCCATACGTAACGGGGAGGGGGTGGGGAATTTACTCTTTAAATTGCTGCTTTGCTTCTTGCTTTTGCACTCAAGAGGGTAAGGAGATGCTGCAATGCGGAGGGGGACAGTTTTTTCGTGATGTCCATGTTTCACAGGTCCTGATCGGGGGGGTTGGATGAACGGATGGCATTTTACCTCAATAGTTTTTAGCTCTGCGGCCAGGCAGAGAAGAAGTTGGCGGTGGCGTCGCGCAGTTTCAAGGAGGCGAGAAACCGATGCTGATTCTGCTTCATCACTGCGGTTGCCCAATGTGAGGTTCCCCTTTTTTGACACGGCGGGAAGGCAACTTGCTGAGCGACAGCTAAGTTGCTACTGGCTTTTGCATGCTGCGAGGGCCGTGTAAGATGTTCGCCAAGCCTGTGAGCTGTCTTTCTGCACAGGCAGGTCGCCTCACGGAGGAGATTCGGAGGCTCGGGGACGGAGACGCCGGACAACAGTTGAACTGTTGCTCTGCGCAGAGGTAGTTGTTCAGAGGTTTCTGTTTGGGAATGTCTCGCAGGCGAGAAGAGGGTAAGAAGAAGTTTGAGGCTGAGCTGGAGTCTCTCCAGGCGGCAAGCCCTTCGCGAGCCGCGCTATGAACATATCCTTGGTAGTTTGCTTGTTTTACGGAGGACACAACAAAAGTACCAACAAAGACCAATGCTTGGTGGTCACAAGTCCGCCCAAACTTCTGTTCATGTCCGCCGAAGGGTCCATTTTGACATCCATGGTCCATACCCATGTCCTGTTGTTGTTCATGTGAGCCACGCAACGGCCAAAATTTAGAGTCCGTAGCGCGTGGGACTGGGGCAGTCTCACCATAGTCCTGTTGGGAAACGAGGGATTATTCACCAAAAGTTCATGTAATACTGACAGCTGCTCATGCGCTTTTGGGCCGTTCGTTCGAAACTCCTGGCAGGCGGAGCTTGCCTCGGCCAGGGAGGCACTGGCGGAGTGCCGGCAGAGCGAGCAAGACTCGCAGGCCGTGTCTTTCGTGAAAGGTGAGCATGGGTGCTGGACCAACCAAAATACGAAGAAGCCCACATTTTAACACATAACTACCATGTTTACAGCACCGTTCTAGCGCAGTTTCTATCTGATTCTTTGTGTGTATGATGCGCACGCCCAGCAAAGGCCTTGCATGTTCCTATCATATGTCTTGCATGTTTCTAGCAAATATCCAGACCGCGTTGTAGTTGAAATAGTTTCATCATATTTCCAGATATTTCCAGCTTACTTCCAAAACAAGTCTAAGCATGCTTCTGAAATAGTTGTTGATCATAATTAGTTTGTTCTATCACTTGTTAGCTATCCGACTTGTCTAACCAATGTCTTGCTGCATTGTGCCAAGCATTTGTTTTGGCACATGTGTGGTATGTTCCCATCAGCACATCATTAGCCGAATGCATTTCTGGCACCAAACATGCAAAGGTGCACTCCCCATTAGGCTGACAACATAGGGTCTGACATGTTTTTTTTTTTGCAAAACATATTCGAGTTTTTGGTGGTTTCCCCCCAAAACGCAATGAAGAAACCCTTGCCAAACAATGCACGCACCTCGACTTTTACAAACAACACACAGCAGCGTCTGACGTTTTTGAAACTCAGAGGTTTTCACACTTTTCCAAGCAATGCAAACAAAGCTTGAGATTTTCAAGCAAGAAACACATTGTCAGATCCTATGTATCCATGTTGGCTGAGTTAGGGTCTGTTTTGTGTCAACTTGTTGTGTTCACACTTTTTCAAACACATGCACCGCACCTTGGGCTAGGTTCATAGGGTTTGTTTTTTGCTTTCGATTTCTTGAGGTGTTTGCCTTTTTGTTTATAATTTTTGAATTGCTCGGTGGTTTTGAAACACGCAGGCCCCACAACCAGGAGCTTATCCTGAGTTCTCTTTTCCCTTTTGGGGGGTTGTTTGCAACGGAAACCAGAGAGACAGAACTTGTCGGGGCTCCCTCATTTAGGGACAAACCCTGTTCGCTGTAGACTGCTGATGATTCAAACTACGGATTTATTTTGATTAGGGAGCGCGGGGTGCATGTCCACCTCATGCCCATTGAATGGCAAGCAGACTCCGAGGGTGAACTGCTCAAAGTGGAAGAGAACTGCGCAGTTGAGGAGCTGCGCGTTCCTGGCTCAGAGTTTCAGAGTTCCGACCTGGAATATGTGTATGTGTCTTTTTTTGTGTTCGCCTCTGTTGAGGTGCTCAGACACCAGGTCTCTGACCTTGAGGCCTGGGCATGGGACGTAACACGCATGCCACCATGTCCACGCACCAGACAGGAGCTCTGCAAGTTGCCGTCCGTGAGCTCCAGTGACCGGCGCTTGTACGAGCAGGAGGTCAGTGTTTTGAAGCACCAGCAGGCCGGCATCCAATTGACGTATTCGATCTTATTTTGTGTGAGCAGTCAGTTGGCCGTGTGTTCCATGTTCGGATAGTTAACATATTGTATGTATATATATATAAGATCGAAGGGAAGCCTCAAAGTGAAGGGCATCATCGGTTTCAAGCAGCCTTGGGTTGGAGACGGCACTTGTTTTTGAAGCATTGTTTGTCCTGGCATTCGGTCGGGCCAGGAGCATCTTGCCAAAAAGTGCGCCCAGCGATAGTACGCTGCGCTGCTGATGCTGAATGCTGCGCTGATGCTGCTGGTTCTGGCCAGTGAGTTCAGCTCGAACTCGGGGGCCCAATTTTGGGAGAGATTCGGAGGCAAGAGGTACAGTAAGGACTTGGGCTGTTGCTTCCTTTGCTGTCACTGCCGGTCGCAGCTCGCGCCGGCGAGTTAAGTTGAGCCCATGGCTTGAGCCAAAGGTTTCTGACTTGGGACCCGGAAGCTCGGATTCGCCAGCCCCAGGGCCCCCAGGGCCCCCAGGGCCCATGCGGCTTCACGGAACTCGGGTCGCTAGGTACAACATCGACCCTGCGGGCTTGGAGGACATCCCCACGGACGTGGTCGAGAGCCTGGAGGAGCCCGGCTCATGGCTTGAAAGGGAGTACCAGCCTGCTGTTTGCAGGCGCAGCCCTTTCTGGAGCACATATATGTATATATATATATAATAAAGTAAGACTATATGTTGGGAACCCCTTCCGCAGTTTCATGTGACCCCTCCGCATTTTCACTTTGTGAGCCTCTCACGAGAAGTATGGTTTCGTCCTTCAGTTGGGGGGGGGAGGCTGGGTTTCCAGTGGCTTCCGTGTAACCCTACCCAGAAATGAGGGTCCATCAACAAAGACGCAACCGTTTCGAAATGCTGCTTGCAGTCACGTTACACATTGCAACTTTTGCCGGGATGTATGGATCGTGCCCCATCCTGGCTGCTGTTTTGCAAGAAGTGAACTCCTGTGAGCCTTCTGCCGCCAGCGACTTTTGACACAGCAACTCTATGGGTTTGTCCGCAAATGGGACAAGCCAAGGTATTCTTTTGCCCAAATCCTTGGTTTGCCCCTTGTTGAAAGAAAGCACCGCAACAGGCTGTTCCAACGTGCAAAGTGCACCGGGCATCAATCCAATCGGCGCCAAATCCAGTGCCTCGGAGTGCCGTGAAGGACAAGAGGGTGATCGAAGTCCCAAGTGACGACTCGGAGGACGAGCAGGCGGCTGTCTCGCCTATCACGCTCAGTCCGCCACAGGGGAGCTCCAGCAAAAGTAGCCTTTCCGGAATGTGAAGCCTTGCATATGCGCGCGTGAATATGCGTCCTACACATAGAAGTACATGTCCCTACCAATGTATACAGGTGTGTGTATAGGGTGAATCGGAGGCTCGGAGGTGACCTTTGTGTTCTCTCAGCATGCATACTTTTTTGCCAGGGAGGACACGTTTTGAACCCTAGCAATATCAGGATCCCGCACGAATGCATTGCTTTCTTCGTCGATGAGTCTAGTCTTCTCATTTCTATTCCTGCTGACCGAGCGGCTAGCCGGTCGGCTGACTGACTGACTGACTGACTGAAGAGAGTTGACAGGTGCCAAATGGTACCTCAGAGCCAGGCGGGCTGATGGTTGGAGCTTTCATCCATTCCTCCTTGACTGAAGCCCAACATGCCGGTCATTGTTTAACAAGATATCGGAAGAATAATGGCATGCTTTCTGTCAAATAATAGGCTTTCTGCATCACGAGTCCTTGTTTGTCCACTCAAAACGGGCACGCTTCTTGCTTGCCTTTGTTTTTTTTGCATCGCAGCCACTGCCATTGGAAGCTTCAACACTTTCCGCACATCCCCTCGAGTGCCGAGGCGTTGTAACTTCGTTGGCATCCAGCACCTGCCTCACCTGCCTGAGTGTGCAGCGGAAGCGCTCGGCATCAGGTGAAGGCTCGAGTGTTTGATTTCTGATGATCACCCCATCCGAGGCGCAGAACCAGAGGTCTCCAGCCCAAAGGAAGCAGAGGTCTCCAGCCCAAAGGAAGCAGAGGCTGAGGCAGGAAGAGGGGGCAATGCTTTGATGGCAGGAATTGTCCAGTATACCGCTCTGCTTCTCTGCCTGTGTGTGTTGGGCATAGGACAGGGGCAGCGGCACGCTTTGATCGAAGCCGCCAAGGATCTTTGAATGAAGCCAGGGCTTTTCAAAAGGATCAAGCGGGGTTGTTGATGTTCTCGAATGCAGGCCTTGGCAGTGGCCTTTTGCTGCTTCCTTGACACCGCCAGGCGAATGGGGAGGCCGACGAGGCTGGCGAGGCCGGCGCCGCCCAGGCCGGCGCGGCCTTGAGCCCCAGGGCGGCCCAAGAGCGTGGGGGCCTCAACTTTTCGTAGCGTCTTATCGTCAGAACGTGTCTTCCAAAAGGAAGTATGGTTTGCTCGCCTCCATGCGGGAAGGGAGGGTACCCGGAGGACTGACACAGCTGGTAGCCGGCATTGAGGACCTCAAGGCCCGCGCCTTTGTGGGGTAGGGTCCGAGAAGTCCTACACATCTGAGAGGTTTCACCACCGGGGCAAGAGCCGTGGTGTTGGTCCCACAAGGTGTTGCATCCGGGTTCGAGACACAGTAGGGGTCTAGCTGAGGATGCAAGGCACCCGAGGCGTCCGGAGTCTTGAAGCACTATGTTGCATGCATTTTGACTTGTTGGTCATCTAAGTCCACTTCTTGCAATTTGGGGCCTATGCTTTTTGGGGATTTTCAGACACACCCGTCGCCTTATCATTTCTTGCGATGTGGAAGCATGGCTCGGTTGTCAGCGACTCGACCGGGGCCGCCCATAACTCCATGATGTCCTGGTTCCAGAGGCATAGAGGCGTGGCCACCTTCCCTCTCCCCTCTCACTGGAAAGAAGTGAGGGATCTGTTATTTGGTGCAAAGGGAAGGACTGCATGGACTGCTTCAGTTGTTTCTTGCCCGATCTTGCTGCTTGCAATTTCCCCTTGGTTCTAGGGATTCCTTCAGAGATCCTTCATTTGTGTCGACAGAAGCACTTCAGGTTTGCCTTGGCCGAGTTTCGGAATTGCCTTTGCATGCCATCCGTTGCATTAATCTTGCTCGGCCTCTGGGGTTTCTGACCGGCCGCAACCCGAGCCGCCTCAAAAGTGATGCACCCGAAGATGTGGAGATGCAATGCGATTCTCTGAACTTCAGGACTCCAGGTACAAGCAATGGTTTCATCCATGGGTTCAAAGTGCCTGTTTGCTAACGAACGATTTCCTTCCGCCTGTGAGATGCAGGCAGAGCTTGGGGCTCTCGAGCCTCAAATCGATACGGCCTGCGAAGTGGAGGACTACGATCTGGCTGAGGAGCAGCCGATCGGCTTTGTTCCCGTCGCGTTTTTTGTTGTTGTTGTTGCTAAATTTAGATTTGGGACAAGTTCCTTGGCCCCACCTCCCGGAGGGAGCATCCCTTGGGGTCGAGCGCCCAGGAGCTTGAGAACAAGCGCAGGGAGTTGGCCCAGCAACAGGAGGACTTGGAGAAGGACCGATGATCCAAACCTTTGCACTTGGAGAGATGTGAGTATGTCGTCTCATGGTTGGTTTCCTTCTGGTTTCCCTTTAAGACCGGTACCGTCAACGAAACACACCCGTGTGGCGCTTGGAGCTTTGAGAAGCGAGCACATCGATCATTTTGTGTGCAGCTTCCAGGAACTGGAGGAACTTCGGCAGCAGCTGCCGGAGGACGAAGATGTGGAGGCGCCTGTTGCCATGTGGAACTGCTGATGCCTTCTTTTTGCTGTCTGTTTCCAGGTCAAAGAACCGAAAGAAGAGCAGTGTGTGCCAGAAGAAGGCTGCGAGGCTGAACCAGAGGCACCTCAAGAAGCACCAGAATCTCCGCAAGCTCAAGACGCTCCCGACTCTCTGCAAGAAGCTCCGGAGCCCACAGCGGCTGAGGAGTCAGAGAAGGCATGAGCCGGACACGCCGGGATTCGGGGGAGCGAACGGGCCGGTTGGAGATGCCGGATTCAAAGCGATTCGCAGGCCGAGAGCTGACCCCCGTGATCCCTTTTGCCACCTCTTGCGCCTCGATCCGCATAGATACGGACAGGGTGAAAGGGTTACGTACGGGTTGCGTGGTTGGGGAAGTGTGGGAGTGGCGCAATTCTATGGTGTGCTTGCCAGGCACCGCGAGGCTAGCGTTTTCCGTGGCCGTCAAACTCTCTCCTGAATGGATGTGAGTTTGGCCCCAGAGCCCGCAACACAGACCATTCCGCATTTGCTTGAAAAGATTGCGCTAGCGCGGGTCGGAAGTTGCAGGGGTTTGGAGTTCGACTGTGGGAGGCAGACGATGTCCCTGGCATGCAGTGACTCAAGGATGGTAAGGCTCAGGCTGGCACATGTAGTGACCGTTTCAAATGACAGGACGCTTGCAAAAGCGGGGAACACAATCAAAGCCTTGCCTTGGAAGGGCCAACATGATTTACGCACTATCTTCTGAATCGCAGCACCGACTTGCAGGAAAACGCGCCCACTCGTGTACTGGTGTTTGGCGTAAATGCTGAAGAGCTTTGCAGGGCTTGGCATGAATTTGAGTTTGCAAATTGCTTAATCTTCGCGATGTATTCGGTGTCGCTTGGGCCGACTGTCGCCCATGCGGCCTATGCGCGTGTGTCAGAGCCTGCGCTTCCCACGAGCCTGGTGTGCATACAAGGCGTTGAGTCGGGCAGGGCGGCCACACGTGACGCGTGTGACGGTGATCCCTTTGGACAGCGCCGTCCCAGAAGAGGATCCCAAGCTGCGGTTTCTGCGGGAGGAAGCTGCCAAGGTGCAGTTAGATGCTGAGGTGACAGATGCCATGCTCAAGGATCTTCCCACACAGCGCCACATGTCCAAGACTGCATTGCTCCAAGGCATCCGGTCCCTGCACTGGTTCCAGACCGAAGCGCAGATTCGGGTGGAGCATTTGAACGAGTATTGGGATTTGCTGGAGAACGTGGGTTGGGACCAGGCCAGGGGCCTCTTGCCCCAGGACTTGGCAGAGATCTTTCAGTTGCTGTCGGTGTGCAAGCGCCCGAGCACGGAGCTGGTACGCCTCATGAGCCAGCAGTGCCGCCTGCTGTGCCGGACTTTCGGGGCACCCGAGGTCGCCCAGGTGCGGTCAAACTTTCAAAGCTGCTTTCCTATGTGTTGCCTCGAAATGGAACCCATGGCAACCGCTGGTTCCATTTGGTTCCCTTCGCTTTCCCTTCCAGCCAACCCCAACAAGGGAACATCCCAAAAGACATATGGAATTTGGATGTCGGCATTCGGGGATGAGCAAAACCAACCACAAAGACCGAGGCACATTGGGGGACGAGCCACGAACAAAAACGCCTGAAGGTGGGGCCACGTTTTTTCCACGCTCATGGCGAGCTGGCATTTGACCGTGGCTCAGGTGGTGCGTGCCTACGGTGCCCTGTCCTTCCGCTCCGCACGGAGCATCCAGCAGCTGAGCCGGCGCCTGGCGAATCTGCTGGCGGACCCAGAAGCGCAGCGCACGGTGACCGGGGCCCACATTGTGGCAGTGGCCGGCGTGTATCCCCTGCTGCAGCTCACGTGGAAGGACAAGCACCAGGCCGGAAGATGCAAGAAAGACCAACACAAAAAATGCTTGGGGCCTTTGGGAGGAGCAAGTGTTTTGAAAGGCTGGGTTGGTTTCGGAGGGGCTTCTTTTTTGGGATTCACCATGCGATCTTAAGCAAATCTGAAAGGACCAGGCGCTGCGGACGTGGAAGGCCTTCGCGGTGGGCCTGGCAGAACGTTTCCCCAAAATGACTTGCCGGGAGGCGGCGGTGGGGCTGAACGCCTTCGCTCGCCTGCGCTTCGATTCCTCGAGCATCCACCTCCAGGTGCTGAGCTGATGGGTGCAAAAGAGCATTCACCTGTACACCTGCAGGTGTGCCTTTGTGCTGGCATGGATATGTATTAGTTAATATATACATATATATATATATATATATATTTGACATGCCATATGAAGCTGACGCGCTCGAAGGGAATCCCTGAGGTGTCGCGTCTCTTCGTGGTGGCCGCGGCGGAGTTGGTGCCCCGCGTGGCCGGCGGCGACGGCGCGCCCCGGGAGCTGGCGCTCATCGCCAATGCCTTCGCCAAGGCACGGGCCATGGCCCACGTGCAGCCGCTCATGAAGGCGGTGTCTGCCCGGGCCGTGGAACAGATCGAAAGCTGCAACGCCCAGGACTGGAGTTGGTTGCTCACGACAGAGGGATGGGAAGTCTCTATAGGCAGACTACAGGGGATGGAATTGATTGTTTGATCAGATTCGAGAAAAGACAAGCTGGGTTTGCCCATGACGAGCTGGCCTCCGCCAATCCTTGGCTTAGCCTTTAGTCAGGACTTCAGCTGTTTGCTGAATGCCTTCACGCAACTCACAGTGCGAGACCCTCCCTTCTTCGACACAGCACCCACGGTGATGTTGGGCATCTTGGGCACCTTCAGCCCGCAACACCTGTCCCTGACAGCCCACGCCTACGCTAAGCAGCAGGTCCGAACCTGCGTTCCCCTTTTTTTCTGTAGGGAAGCAACCAATGCCGGCAACGCCCAACATGTCTAGCAATTTCATAATCAGTCTAATAGATGGATCTGCCGCTCTGCCCCTTTACCTCGAGGTGCGGCACGAGGCCTTGTTCGACAAGGTGGCGGACCTGTCGCTGCGGCTGCTGGACCGCTTCACCCCGCTGAACTTGGCGAACTTGGCCTACGGCTACGGGCGCCTGCAGGTGCAGCACCAGGAGCTGGTGAAGGCCCTCGCAGATGAGGCGGGATGCTTGGGAGGCTTGGGAGGCTGGGGATGGCCGGTGGGCGGGATGCAACCAAAAATCAAGGGAGGGCAGTCCTGGTGCTGGGCAACAGTCGTGGTGCTTGGTGCTAGCCATGTATTCCTAGATGTGCTGGAAAGCACTAGTTGACAACGGTTGTCAAATAGAAACCATCGATTCCATTGACAACAGTAATTACATTGCCTCACACAGAGGTCATCCCATTCGGCGAAGCATTCTCGTGTGTCCTTGCTTGATGTTTCGTAGTTGCACATGACGAAAGGTTATCATTGTGAATCCATTGTAGCTTGGACAACGTCTGGAAAAGGGAAGCCAAAAGGCAACTGTCGACCCTTTTTTATGTGTTTTTTTCCCCCCCCCCGAAGGAACCACCAGAAAGCCAGTTGTAAGCACCCGCCCAGATTCCTTTGCAACATACCGAGGAGGGGCCCTTGGGCAAAAACCAAAAATACGAGCCATCATTTGGATGTCTGTGTTTGGAGGATCCCCTTTTTGAGGCTTTCAAGTTCCAGTTGAACTTCCCATTTCCCTGGGATGCGTTCCCGTTAGGTCATCTACCGGGGCACCATCGGCAAGAGCCTGCAGGACACGGCCGGCTCCGGCGGGCTCTACCGCTTCCCCCTGAGCCCTTTGGAGCGGCTCACGCAGGCCTTCGCGCGGCTGTCGGTGAAGGACCAGCGCCTCTACTTCGTGCTCTTCGACATGACGCGCCAAAGGGTGCGCGAGGCGGTACGTGGCGGTTGAGTGTCCTTCGACTTTCCGAGGTCGATGTTTCGTTTAACGATCTTGTTTTTTTCTTTTTGGCGCAGAGACCGGGTTGCGAATGGCCAGCCGAATGTGGAAACAAGGGAAGTTGGGGATTGAATGATTGGAACGCCCTGAAATTGCTGCGAGGATGTAAATGATGAGCACCGAAGGGTCCCCGATCAAACATCATAAGCACATGGGACACAGTTGGTGTCCAATGGTGGGTGGGGGAACCCCTTTTTGCATTTGTTTTTGAGGGAAACTAAAAGAGGCACTAGACTCTTCAGTGCTCCACGGTTCAAACAACCCAAATAGCAATAGGGTGGGCTCAACACAAGGTATTTTTCCCGACTGCGCCTGGCACGCTTGACTGTCCTTCCTTCAGGAAGGAGCCAATTGGATCGAGTGATCCCAACGGTTGTCAATCAATAGGCTCCAGAGCCTTTGGGGCCAGGATGTGAAAGGCAGACCTGGGTTTGTCTCCAAGCTTGATTTCCTTTCAAACAAAAAGGACACCCACCTTCAGCCAGAATCCACACAACCCCACACCCCACACCTCACAACCGCGCACCCCACACCCCACAACCCACACCCCCACACCCCCACACCTACCTGCACCCTCAACCTTCCCCTTCAGCCAGAATGGGACCACCCCTGTTGTGTTTCCACCTCAAGGCAACCCCAACACGAAACCTTCAAACTGACACCACCTGATCAGCCGAGCGCCCTTCGCAGGCCGTTCGAAAGGTAAAGGACACCACAGTCGATGGCGTCGAGGCCAAGGTGGACAAGTCCCGGGTGGCGTCGCTGATCTCCCGGGGGGAGGACGGAGCGGCTGGGCCGCTCCTGGGCCCCTCCGCACATTTTGGTACCAGGTTGGCAACGAAGGCTAAGGTGCAGATAGTGATTGTCTTTAGTTGGTTGGAACAACCGCAAGCGTGAACCTGCATCCAGATGCAAATGATGTGCGCCAAAGGTAGATTCACGGGTAGGCATTTGCGTAAACTGTTTGTCCGGCGGGGAACAAGTTGTGTTTTTTCAGCATTTGGAGGGGTATCCTATACGGGAAACACCTATATGTCCACCTACAGTATGCAGGATTTGGACATGCCGACGGGCCATGGCTTGTCCATTTTGCTGTCTGCCTTTGCCAAGAGCCAGGCCAACTTCCACACGCTTGTCAGATGGGTGCCGCGTCAGGTGACCTCGCTGGATGGGCAATACTCGACCATACAGCTGGCCAGAATGTTCAATGCCTGCACCAGGTTGGGCATCTCCCATTCTCCCATGTACTCGGATCTCTTGCAATTTGCCAAGCCGCGGGTGCCGCAGATGTCTCCGAGGGCTCTCACCATGCTTCTGCGAAGCATGGCGCGGGCCAAAGTGTCCAGCAGGGTTGTCATCCGCAATGCGCTGAAGGTCATTTCCGCCAAAGCGAGCGACTTAGACGTCGTAGATGTGTGCGCCTCGCTCGTGGCGTGCTCTGAAATGAATTATCGTGATGAGCGATTCCTGAGGCTCTTGGCATCTGTGGCGCGCACTAGAATGAACGAGATGAGCGGCAGCCAATTGGCAACAGCATTCGCTTGCTACGCGCAGATGCGCATCCAGCATGCTGCCTGGTTTGATGCCGTCCTGTTCGAGATTTTTCAGCGGCAACATGAGCTTGGGGAGAAGGACGCTACCAATGTCGCTTATGCCATGCTTCTGCTGGCTGCAGTACATAAGCATGAGTCACAGCTGGCGCCAGAGCAGTCGCTTGGGCAGGTGCCCTATCCGTTTGACGTACACCAGGGTGTGCTGTACAGCATGCTAATGGTTACAAACAACAATCGGAACGAGCTGAGCTATCCGGCCCTGTACCAGCTGCAGATGGTGGAGCTGTTTTTGCGGCTGCTTACGCCGAGTGTTTACGACGACATGCGTCAGGAGTTGAAATCCCTGCTAGCAAAGGCCAGGAAGGTCAACGTGGTGGTTGACGATTACATGCAAAGCTCCTCGCGGCTGCACAGGCGGATTTCTCGTTGGTTCATGCGAGTGGGGCTGCAACATCGAAGCGAAGTCTTTGTTGGGCCCTTCATGCTCGACATGCTCATTGGTGAGCGCGTGGTGGTGGAAATCGACGGCCCCTCTCATTTCTACCGCGACACCAACACGCGCACCGCGTCCAGCCTGTTGAAGCATCTCCTTTTGCGGGCGATGGGCTTTCACGTGCGGCACTTGCCTTACCAGGAGTGGCAGCAGTGTGGAACTGCGGTGAAGCGCACAATGTACTGCTCTGAGTTCTGGAAGGATGTGGTTGCGGCCACGGACAACACACGGTTGCCTGAGCTGGTAGATATCCTGGATGTTGTGGTGAGCTGGCAGATTGGTGAGGGTCCCCACCCCAGTGCTGCCCTTTTGAGGCAGGAACAGGCCCCGTCGTCCCTGCCTGCCTTCTATTCAGAAGAGCTGGAGGACGAGGCGGAGATTGCGAACATATATCCATTTCCATGCGGAGCCCTGTGTTTCTCCTTTGGTTGCTGGTGACACTAAAATCGCTTTGTTAGACATTCTAACCTCAGGGCCTTTTGGACATGGTGTTTTCCAAGCTCAGGGACCCCGAAAAATTGGATGCGTTTCCTTGCAGCTCCGTACAACCAACCAAAACTGGGTACTCTGGTTTGTGAAGCCCCCAAATTTCGGATGAACATTTCAGAGACTTAAGAGCGTGGTCTTCTGAGGGCATTCGTTACTTTGGGTGCCCAGGGACACTGTGTAGACTATGGGGTCCACATTTCCCGCGTGGATTTACATTTCCCGCTTACCCCCAGTCCCCTCTGCGATTTCCCGAGGAGCGCGAGCTGCTGGCGGCCCACGCGGAGGCGGAGGAGTCCTTGGCCAAGGACCGCGCGCAGGGCCTCAGCTCCCGGGACCGCCTGCACCTGGACCGCGCCAGCGCCAAGGAGGCGACGGGGGTGGGGTTTGGGGGGGTTCGGGGGGTTTGGGGCCGGCTTGGGCCAAGTGGTCCGTAGAGTGAGCGCAACGGATTTGGGTCAAGTTCAAAATGCGAGCGAGGTCGAGGAGACGCCGATGGAGGACCAGCTCCGGGAGCTGTTCCCGCGGTCCAAGCGCCGTGTGGTGCGGCGCTCCACGGCGGGTCTCTTCGACTTTGAGGCGATGGAGGCGGAGACGGACAGCGAGGAGGAGGACGGATGCAGTTTTTGGCTCCAAAATTGGGTGTCTCATGGTATCTTCCAAATCCGGCATTTTGAGCCACAGATTTCCCTCTGTGGTTTTGAACTTTACCTTTTGGGCCCCAAGTGAATTTGTATTTGGTATGGGTGATGTCTCAAGGGGGCATAGAGGGAACCTTGGAGGAGGAGCCGCCAAAGGAGCCAAAGGAGCTCAAAGGGTTGGGCAAAGGTGGGAACCGGACTGTGGGCTTTGAAGGAATCCACCGTAATGAGGGCCTGAGGGCATTTGAATTGAGGTAATGTGTGGAACAAGATTGCCCACACCCTCCAAGGAGCCTCAGGCGGCGATGGAGAAATGTGAGAGGGAAACGGGGCGCCAGGAGGAGAAAGGAACGTGTTGTGAGTGTGTGTGTGTGTGTGTGTGTGTGTGTGTGTGTGTGTGTGTGCGTGTGCGTGTGCGTGTGCGTGTGCGTGTGAATGTGCGTGTGCGTGTGCGTGCGTGCGTGCGTGCGTGCGTGCGCGCGTGTGCGTGTGTGTGTGTGTGGGTGGGTGCTTGTGGGTGGGTGCTTGTGTGTTGGTGCTTGTGTGTGTGTGTGTGTGTGCTTGCTTGCTTGCTTGCTTGCTTGCTTGCTTGCTTGTTTGTTTGTTTGTTTGTTTGTTTGTTTTTTTGTTTGTTTGTTTTCTTGTTTTTGTTTGTTTGTTTGTTTGTTTGTTTGTTTGTTTGTTTGTTTGTTTGTTTTTTTGTGTGTGCCTGTTTGTGTGTGTGTGTGTGCCTTTTTTTTGTGTGTGTGTGTGCCTTTTTTTTGTGTGTGTGATTGTTGTTTTGAGGGGGCATGCAGCCTGGTGACGTAAGGAACATCTTCAAACAAGCTCATGGCGCGAAGGATTTTTGGGACCGCACGGTAATTGAGCCTGGTTTGCTTGATACTGACTCCAGGGGCCCTGAACGGGTCTAACACACGGGTTCTAGCTTGCACCAAAGGACAATCACGTGTGTAGCACTTGTTACCCAAGGATCTGTTTTAGTTTTCTCGCCGGATATGACTTGGCTCCCTGGTTTCGACTTTCGGCTCCAGCCTGGCCCATGGCGAGCCGGCTCTTCGGATCCGCGGCAGGTACCTCAGAGCTGTCATCCCATTTTCTGGTTCGTGGCCGGCAAAGGGCCATTCTCCATGTCAGAACCTGAAGGTGACAACTGCATCATTGTCAGAAACGACTGATCGCATTTTCGTTCAGGGGGCCAAATGTGAGAAAGATCAGCTGCCGTTCCCTGCAAGGTCCAAGGCGTCCAAGGGCGGCCGCGGCCGCGCGCGCGGCCCGATGCCGCGCGCGGGCCGGGACCCGTGCGGGCTGTGGGCATCATGCGGGCGCCGGTGGGAAGCCCAGAGAGTAAGGGCTTGCAGAGTCTCAGAACCAGAACCGGGCATTAAAAAACATAATATATTAATATATCTTGATGTATACATAAATACTATATACATGTTATACATATATATATATATATATATATGCACACCATGAACTGCCGTACCCTGTCTTACACTACCAAGGCTTCGGCAGCGGATGGGAGCTCAGACTTGCAATTCCAAGATGTGGGTCTGTCGTTTTTTCAGGGGACCCGTTTTTGGTGGGCTTTAAAGGGAAACCAAAAGGAGACCACAATTTTGGAGGGTCCCCTAACAAGACACCCATGTGGCCTCATATCAAGCCAAGGTCCGGGGGCGCGGGAGCCGCATGTACGGAGGCGATGTGCTTTTTGGAAGGGTGAGACTTGAACTTGAGCACTGGAACTGCGGCCAGCAGGAAGGGGAACGGAGGCTTGACAGGAGCCAGGTGAATGGGCAAAACCTAGCATGGTCTGTGACCTGGTGGTCTCGCGGACCATGTGCGGGTTGTTTGAAAGGGCAACAAGGCTGCGCAAGCTCTTGGGCGTTGTGAATTGGCAAGAAGATCCACCATGCAATCGCTTTGAGTTGGGACGGCCCTGCAGGTGGTATGGGAGCAAGCCCAGCCTTCAAAGGAGGCAGGTTCAGGTTTTTCGAATGCAAGCACAACTGAGACATCTCAGGCGATGAAGACTTTGGTGAGTACTCTGGAGGTGCGTTGCTGTTTGTGGGTCTTGTGTTCTTGAACATGATGCTTTTGCCAACTTGCTTGGTCCTAATTGCTTTCCTGTGGGGTTGTGTGAACTGCTAAAATGGAGGTTCCTTTGAACACAATCCAACAAAGTTCCCCTGCCTAAATGACATATCCCTCATCCCGATTCCGCAGGTGGCAATCCTCGAGCCTCTGCCTTTGCCAGGGCCTTTGATGTGGAGGAGCACAGAGCGTGGGCACAGGTCTGGTCCGGATATCCCGCTGGCTTTTTTGTACACTCATACAATCGTATATGCATACACGGATGCATCCTTACCTGCCGACCTACTCACCTGCCTGCCTGCCTGCCTGCCTGCCTGCCTGCCTACCTACCTACCTAGATGCATGCACACATGCATACATAAAGGAGCACACATACGCGCACACATACATGCGCACACACACACATACACCTACACACACATGCACGCGCATACATGGCACAGTCGTACACGCACATACATATGCATATACATATGCACTCACATACATAAAGACAGCACACATACGTTTCATTGCACTGCATTGCACTGCACTGCACTGCGCTGCACTGCACTGCAATTGCATTGCGTTGCTTTGCATTGCATTGCATTGCGTTGCATTGCATTGCATTGCATGACATTATCTTGCATTGCACCGCATTACATTTCATTAAATTTGCATGCAGGCAGACAGACGCCGACAAACAGACACACAGACAAACATACCAACAGGCAGACAGACATGCAGACACATACATACATACGTATATATATATATATACCTACGTGCGTACATACATGCATACATGCATACAGACAGACAAGCAGGCAGGCAGGCAGACAGACGGACAAACATACATACTTACTTACTTACTTACTTTCTTACCTACTTACACATTGCTAATTGTGTCATGGAAGCCTTTTTGGCTCACTTGAAGGGGAACCTTCTGCAACTGACTCAAACAAGCAAAAGGGGGACCTTTCTCCTCTCTGCTCCTAGTTTTTTTGTTGTCTGGTGTCGGCGTCATGTTTATTTGCAGGAGGGTAGCAGGAAAATCAACCATTTGAAGGAGTCCCGGTCTTGACATCCAAGCAACCTAGCATTGGCGAGAGGCTGCGGCTGCCAGATAAGTTGAGCATTGCCTGCTTTTGCTGCATTGCCACGCAACTGTGCTCGCATTGTTTATTGCGAGGAGCAGGAACCAGGCCCAGTTCGTCGAGTAAGGGGCAGGCGCGTCGCTGAGGGGAGTGCGCTGGTTGCAGGCACCAGGACTTACTTGTTTGGAGGAGGAGGGATCCAGTTTTCATTTTCTGGATCTTGCGATTCTGAAGCTACCAACAGCAGTCCTGAGCCTAAGCAGTCCCGAAACCCTCACGCATTCCGCCTTCCTTTTTTTCCTTTCGCCAAATCAGGCGCGCTGGACCCTACGACGAGGCTGTGGAGGTTGAGCCAGATCCTTGGTGGCGCAGCGCTTTCCTACTTTGCCAGCTGCGCATGCCATGCTTTGGCACATGCTGGGATTCAACACCGCACTTGGCCGAGTACTGACTACAACGGCTTTCCGCGCTTTTCGCAGTACGACTGGGATGAGCCTGAGTGCGTCTGGCCAGTTGAGCGATCGTGTGTGGTGGTAAGAGAGATGACCCGGGGCCTGGTCTTTTCCGATCCCCCAACTTGCTTTTGGATCCAAACCAACGCTTTCAAAGTCCACCATTAAAATCCTAACTTCTCAAGCCAACTTGTTGCCTGGCTGGTGGAGGAAAACCAAAGCCCGAGCTTGGCTTTTTCCATGCCTTGAGTTTTGCCTGCCCACGGATGGGGTTGGGGCAAACTGGTTTTGGGCAATCCGTCGCATCCTCAAAGGCCAAAGCAAACCCACAGTCGTACCAAGACAGCCGCGCCATTTCACTGGCTGCCTTCGCCGCCAGTTGGGAACACGACCAGTTCGACGGGCCCCAGACGGTAGGCTCTGCTGCGGGGCCCTCAGCGTGAGCATGCAGCCAGCCCTTTCCGGCGCTGATCGGTTTCCTTTTTGTGCCACCTTCAAAGCAGTGGGTCTTGTTCAGGGTTTTCTCTGTGTTGCTCAATGTGGGGATTCCCGGCATATCATGGGCACCTGACGAAAGCGCCCAGTTGTTGGGGTTCCCCTATTTTCAGAAGCCGGATATGTGTGTGTTGCGCGCAGATCTTCGTACGAAATCTGCCTCCTGGTGTAGAGGGACACCAACTGAAGCACCTCTTTGAGGAGGCCAGAGGGTCGAGCGATCTCTACCAAATCCATTCGCAAGTGGAGCGTTTACGACCCCAGAGAGGTGGACAGAGTGCCTTTCAACTGAAGTTCAATAGGCAATTCCCACAGAAAACGGGCGGACATAACTCCTCATGCTTTTCATGATGTCTGGGCCCCTGGGGCCCCAGGTTTGTTTGCTCACTGGCAGATTGGATATCTGTTGCGCAGGGTATCTTGTCAGGGCTTTCAAGGGAAACCACTCGAATCCATTTAATGGTCCTTGATGAGTACCCCTCTCCGGTCTTTTCCTGTGTGGACCCCTGTCTTGCCAATAGGACTGCAGTAGGAAAGTACAAGGTCATTGTGTTTCTTATTTTCCAGGGCTGGAGAGGGACTTGATTAGTCAGAGGGGGTTTGGTGTTATTTGGGGGGCCTAGCCTTGAAGGGGGGTACCCCTTGCGAGCTTATCAAACTTGGTTTTAAACCAAATCGTGAGAATGAATTTGCTGTTTCCGGCTAGCCGTTTTTGAATTTCTGGAAAGGCAACCGTTGAGACTATGAAAGGAGCTAGCATTGGCAAGAGTATTGGCAATAGCTTTGGAAATTAAATGCTTTTGTTTTATTATTTGTCTGATTTTTGGGCCGGAAAGGGGCGTCTTTAATCAGAGGGGGTTCTGGGAGGTGCCCCAAAGAAATTGAGAGGGGTTTTTTGGCCAAACCTTGTGGGCGCCTTTAAAGTAGCTCCTGAATTCGTGCCATAGGAAATCGAGCGAAGCGAGGTTTCCTTTGGCTTTAAGGGCAACGCAAGCTGGGAAATCCGCGCGTCTCGGGTTCATTAATCACGTTCTACCATCATCTTGAGGGCTTTCCCCAACTTGACGCATTGTAGGCCGGCCAGATCGCCAACATCCAGGCGGGCTCCCACGGGGAATTTACCGGGGACCCGGCAACCGCTGGGCGCGGGAGCTGCGCTTCACAGGTGGACCAGGGGCCATTGCCGACCGCGACCATTGGCTATTTGCGACAGGCACCATTGTGCGGGGCTCGTCTTGAGGGTTGAGGGAAACGAAGGGAGCCACAGACAAATCAAACCTATTTTGCCAAACCCTTGTTTTTTTTTTGCCGGGGAGGTTTGCGTGTGGGGTTGTCTCAAAGTTACGGGACCCCGAAATGGTTGGCAGACAAACTGCGGAAGACCAATAATATATTTGGCCATATTTTGCCTTTTGGTGGTGTAGGCTCAAAGGAACCCACCCTTTTGCGGATTATGGGGTTTTCCAGGGTCAAGCCAAGGGAGGGATCCCATACATCGCCTCAAGGACATGTATTCGGGTGGAATAGGGATAAAACCCTGTAAAACGAAGGCGACCCTTGGAAAGAAAGCCTGCGAATAGGTGAACACCTCCGCAAAACAAAGGCGGCCCTTTAAAACGAAGCCTCCGGAGATATGTCCTTTTTGCACCTTTGGAATTTGGGGATAGCCCAAGTTGAACCAAAAGTTAGAAGGCCTAGGGGTTGAAGTCGGCCAGGGCGTCGGCCACGATGCTGTCCAGATGTTCCATGGGCGGTACTTGCTGGGCTACGAGCTCAAGGCGCGCAGAACCGAGGCAGTTGGGTGGTTCTAAGCATGATCTTGTTGGTCCCTAAGTTACTTTCCTTTGGGTCCGGTGATGTCCAAAGCGGAAAAATTGGAACGCTGATGGGAGCCACACTCAAACCAGACGAGTAGGTGAAGCAGGGGACAGGCTCAGTCACAAATGGGTGAGCATATCCACTTTTTTGATTCTTTACAATGGATCCCACTTGTGGCGCAAAAACGAGGAGAGCAGGGGCCATATCCTGCCTGGACAGGGAGCCTCGGGGAGACACCTGGGAAGGACATCTTAGCTGAATTTAGCTGACGTGTGTCAACCTGCTACCGTTGTGAGGTGACTCCCAAGGCCGCCGACATGCCAGCGGCCAGAAAGGTGGACGACGACTTCTGGCGACAAGAGCGCTGGCCTTGTTGCCCTCCGATCTTTGCCGTAGGTTTGCCTTTGACGGAGGTCACGGTTTTCGGGAAAAAAGCAGACAAGGCGACAAGTTGTTTGGCCACAGTGGCACATTCCGTCTTCTACGACGTTCTACATGTGTGTTTAGAAAAGGCTCGCAAAATCGTTGCGAGACGACGACGGAATTCTCTGAACGCTGATACTAGAAAGCACTATGGGAAGACTGCGGGACGGGAAGGTTATGGGCTTCGAAGACTAAAAAGCTTCAGACTGGACTAGCCTGGCCGGTTGCCGTTTGCCGGTTGTTGCCGGCCTTCCGGCCTTGCCGAAGGCTTCCCCCTCCTTCCCGGTCTTCCCGTCGTCTCCTTTTAGTCCGGCTCTGTCGGGGAGCGCATTTGCGTACAGTGTGAATTAATCACGGTTCCGGTAAAGCCGAGTCGTGGTTGGGCTTTCAACACGCGTTCCGTCCCTATCCTCACAGTTCCGCCAGCTGTTGACCAAGGATTACGATATGATTCAAGTCTCTTCCCGTCCATGCTTTGCCCTGGCCGTGCGTCCAGAGCTTCCTGCCCAGGTTGCGCGACATGAAGCAGAGGGGGGAGCTGATGCGGAATGATCCATGGGTGGTAGAGCAGTTTGGAGACGAGGCCCGCGCTCCAGACTGTTTGACAGACTGGGACAGAGTCCGTTCCAGGCCATGGATTGGGGTCCTCCTCCTCGTAAAGGATTGAAAGGACACATCCTCAGCTGCAGTAGCATTGCAACACTGGGATGCCTGGCATGCTGATAAGACTGCGCAGCAACACGCGAGTTGCAGATGAACATGATAATTTCGTTGTTGAACTGGCGAACTCGCGTTTGCTACAGCCTGGGATTTCTGTTTTGGCGCTGAGGAAAGGGCGGATCGAAAGGCAGGCCGAAAGGAAAAGGGAAAGGTGCCGCAGGAGGCGGCCCCAGGGGCGCAGGAGGCTGGATCTGATGAGTAGGTTCATGTTTCGGTTAGTATGTGTCGGTTCGGTTCGATTCATGGCCGGTTAACCCCGGTTCGCACGTTCTTTTGACATGATGCCACCGGTCGAAATCTCGATCTTGCTCAACGTGAAGACCAGGAAACGGCATATTGCACTTACATGCGGGCGCTTCAGCCAGGGCATGGCGCAATGATGTGCTTGTAGCTGGTTCTTGCACAGGCATGCACAGTTCATTGGCCTGGGATGACTGAGCCGACATCTAGCTTGCACATGGCAACTGACTGGCAAGTTGGTTGCTTGCGAGCGAGGGTGTCGGAGGGCCATGTCTCACTCGAAATAACATAAATATCATGTCCATAGCAATAGGTCTCAGGGCCTGCGAAAGACTCGGTGAATGCAAAAGATGTGCAGAGTATTGATCGGCCAGGAGCCGTCCGGTGTCAACAGAGCATCCGGGTATGGTGACCACAGTGAAGAAGTCAAACATTTGGAATATGTACTTGTTTTTGCTATTGTTCAGCATGTAAATTCACTGACAGATTTTACTTTCCAGGCACCACGCATATGATCGACCTGTTTACACCTCGAGTGGACTCACAGCATCTTAGCTGAGCCATTTCAGGGCTGCTCATGAAAGCTGCCCAAACAACTTGTGAGCCCCAGTGTAGCAATGTTGACATGCAGCGTCTTGCCTATGCCAAACATGATCAATCGCCTTGTTGTCAGACTATCAGATGACATTCTGCCGCACGTGGATGATCTCAGTCATATGCTGACAAAGTCGACAGCAACAGACAACTTGAGCAACATACAACTTGAGTGAGCAGGACCATGACCTTTACTACGGTGGACTCATGACAGCTTCCAAGCTTGCCACATCCCACGCAGAAGCCGAAGAGAGGAGGCTGACCTGAGGTTTTCCTGTACCTCTTGCTGGCTCGGGATTTTGGGGTTGAGCCATGGCGCATTGAGGGCGGGATGGGCCTGGCGCCGGCCTGAGTTCAGCCTGCCGAAGTGGTGCAGCGGCTTAAAAGCTCGTGGAGCTTTTTTGGGTCAGGAGTTGGTCAAGAGGCTGGCTCTGGAGGATGTGGACGAATTTATGAAATTGCAGGACATCGCGGGAGAGAGGGTTTGGCGACGGCGCTGCATGGCCAGACTAAACTTGCTGCACGATTTGCAGGATCAGTTTGTCTTGGAGCATTTCTCACTCACAGCAAAGCTTTATGAGCAGGCCCGCTGCCGACAGGGGAAGCGAGAAGTGCTTCTATTTGCTAGATTCTTGTCGTACTTTTGAGCCGCAGCGCCTCCAGGTAACTCTTCCTGACTGGCAGCACTGTTGGGGACTTGACAATGGCCTGGGGGTTGGGATTTTGGAAGGGGGCTGGCCTGTTTGCACTGCAGAAAGACCTGGAGTTGCGGGATGATTTGCGGGCTCGCGGGGAATCCAAGGCCTCCTTTGCCCCCAGCACATCATGCTGACGCCAGGAGGCGCTGGTAGCAATATGTAGCAATTGCTGCGCAGCCAGTTACTCCAGTTGCTTTCCCGACCGAAACACCTGTGGACTTGCGCCCGGCTGCAAGTGCAGTGAGATTCGGGAAGCTTGATTGCGGCGATATAGAGGATAGCTTGATGCCAACAAACATGATTTTAAGACCCCTCACTTCAGCCATTTGTGCGGCTGCGCCTCCGACATCCCCTTCCGCAAATTGCGCCTGAGCGGAAATTCCACACCTAACTGACCGACAGGCAGGCTGAATCAGATCATGGAGATGGTGAAGCAGGACGGGAGTGTGAGCATTCGACCGAGTTCGATGTGCGGTATAGGGAATGACTACCTGTCATTAAACGGGATGCTGAGACCTCCATGCCAGGAAAATCCGGCTTTGCGACACCTGCACGTTTTGCTGGTTGCGGCTGGCCATCCAAAGAAGCAGGTGCCTTGCGGGACCCGGGCAGGGTCTCATGGCAAGGGGCAAGGCGAATGAGAATGTTCCGCACACCCTTCCCTTCGCCAATCTCTTCACAGTGGCTGAGGGGCTGGAGAAGCTCAAATAGACAAACAGAGACACAGAGATACAGAGACACAAACTGGGAGACACAGACACAAAGAAACACAAACAGAGAGACAGAGATACAGAGATGCACAGACACAGAGACACGGAGACACAGAGACACAGAGATACAGGGATACAGCGACACAGAGACACCGAGACACAAACAGAGACACGGAGACACAGAAACACAACCAGAGACACAGAGATGCAGAGATACACAGAGACTTGGAGACAGAGAATACAGAGATACAAAGACACAGAGACACAAAGACACACAGAGACAAACAGAGATACAGAGACGCAGAGACACGGAGACAAAGAGACACAGAAACACAGAGATACAGAGACGCAGAGACGCAGAGACACGCACAGACACACACACACACAGACAGACACACACACACACAAAAGAAAAACACAGACACACAGCAGAAACACAGACGCAGACGCACAGAAGCACTAAAACACAGATAGAGAGAGAGAGAGAGAGAGAGGCACAGAGACAGCCAGACGGGCAAACAGACAGACGGACGGACAGACAGACAAAGACAAATACAAAGACAAAGACAATGGCAATGACCCAGGCGGACAGACATACACACAGACAGACAGAGCCACAGACACAGACACGGACATAGACACAGACAGAGACAGAGAGAGAGAGAGAGAGACAGACAGAGACAGACAGAGACATACAGAGACAGACAGACAGACAGACAGACAGAGAGAGAGAGAGGGACAGACAGACAGACAGACAGACGGACAGACAGACAGACAGACAGAGAGAGAGAGAGAGAGACAGACAGACAGACAGACAGACAGACAGACAGACAGACAGACAGACAGACAGACAGACAGACAGACAGAGACAGACAGACAGAGAGACAGAGAGAGCCACAGACACAGACACGGACATAGACACAGACAGAGACAGAGAGAGAGAGAGAGAGAGACAGACAGAGACAGACAGAGACATACAGAGACAGACAGACAGACAGACAGACAGACAGACAGACAGACAGAGTCAGACAGACAGACAGACAGACAGACAGACAGACAGACAGACAGACAGACAGACAGACAGACAGACAGACAGACAGACAGACAGACAGACAGACAGACAGACAGACAGAGACACAGAGACACAGAGACACAGAGACACAGAGACACAGAGACACAGAGACACAGAGACACAGAGACACAGAGACACAGAGACACAGAGACACAGAGACACAGAGACACAGAGACACAGAGACACAGAGACACAGAGAGAGACAGACAGAGAGACAGACAGAGAGACAGACAGAGAGACAGACAGAGAGACAGACAGAGAGACAGACAGAGGGACAGACAGAGAGACAGACAGAGAGACAGACAGAGAGACAGACAGAGAGACAGACAGAGAGACAAACAGAGAGACGGACAGAGAGACAAACAGAGAGACGGACAGAGAGACGGACAGAGAGACGGACAGAGACAGACAGAGACAGACAGAGACAGACAGAGAGAGACAGAGACAGACAGACAGAGAGACAGAGAGACAGAGAGACAGAGAGACAGAGAGACAGAGACAGAGACAGAGACAGAGACAGACAGACAGACAGACACCGACAGAGAGAGACAGACAGACAGAAAGACAGAAAGACAGAAAGACAGAGACAGAGACAGAAAGAGAGAGGCAGAGACAGAGACAGAGACAGAGACGGAGGCAGACAGACGGAGAGACGTACAGCACATACACACCTAGAGAGTTTGTTTATGTCCGTGACTAGCATTTGAGAACGAAAGCTTAGAATTGTTCTTAGGTAGTCTCGATATGTCTTGATTGATGATCTCTCCCGCTCGCATCCGTTTGATCTTTCTTGTTCAGGTGAATACATCTTTGCACCACGTTTTCCGATGCTGGCAAATGCGGCGTATGTGCTTTAATTGGATTGTAGGAGCTGGCCTCAGGTTACTGGTTGTGGCCAGCTTTCATCAACGGATTTGCCGCCTCCGGGTTTGCAGCTGTTTTCAAAGCCTCAGCCTGGAACGTGACGTATCGTATGCGCACCGCAGTGTCTCCATGGAATAGTTTTCTTTTTTTTGTTGCTTGGGGATGGGAGGGGCATCACGGGGGAATCACGAACGTCCCATTTTTTCCTGCAAAACACGTTTTCGTCTTGGCTTGCAACTGGTCTCCGACATGCCGGACGCTCCGTGACTCGGGCAATCCTGATCTGCCACGGCGGATCATTTGTTCCGATTCTTTATGACAATCACTGGCCAAAGCACTTACCCTAGAGATGCGCTATAAATGCCTCTGACGTTTTGCACAATGTTGGCAAGTTGTCGCCGGGTTGTCAGACTTCGCAATGATTTGGGTATGGCAACGCCCGCAAAGGAACATGTTCCTGGGTTATATTGGTTAACACGGAGGAAACGATGTACCGAACGGACCAGCACACCATGCAACGTTGTCTCTCTGAAGGCTTTGCACCCAAGCTTTCGCTTCTCAACTCTGAACATGGACTCCGTACCAAGATCCTGTGTGCAGGTGGGCTACATCATGTTCCAGGTCCACAAGAGTGGCAAGAGGACGACGGCGTATGGCACTTTGTTCTTGGAACTCGAGATCAGGCTCTGCAGATATCGATGCACCATGGCGGAGGGTATCAAAATGGTTGTTCGGACATTCCGTCCATCTTCTCCTCCACTCCGCACGCACTTGTTTGGGAAAACACACAGGGGAGGAGAGGCATGGTCGGAGCATGTGGAATACCCGATCGCATGTTTTGCTCGCACGGAGAGAGCACTTCCCGTGAAGGCATCCTAAGCTTTTGGTTCAGATTAGGAGGCGAAAACTCTTTTTTGTTGTTTTTTGGAGGGAGAACCGAAGGGACATCGTGCGGTTTCGGGTTCTATTTTGGGACCCCAACTCGTCAAGCCCCTGTTCAGGAGGAGCGACGGGACAAGTGCCGCTTTCGTCCAGGCGCAATTGACAGGGCATGCGATTGCAGGACAAGCTGCATGTGCCGTGCTTCATTATTGTTTCGCCGATAGGAATTGATGGTCATCAGCCTTTGAAATTGTATTCCGATGACCGTATCACTGCATCTTGGAACACGCTTCTTGGAAGGGACATGGGCCAATGGTAAGCTCAGGGGAAAAACACGCCTGGTACATTTGGACACTACCGCTGGCTACGATTCAAGAGGAATGGGTGTCAATCTTTGACCAGTTTTGTGAGAACTTGGTGAAGGACCATGTTGACCACACCATCTCAGTTATTCCACCGATATCGTTGAGTTGGATGTTCCCGAAAAATGGCTGGTTTCTTGGTTCTAGAGTCCAGAAAAGGGTAGCGAGACTGACACATGCAGGTGAAGCAGCTCTTTGTGTCGTCGAAGCACCGTCGTCATGGATTGGGCAAGCTCTTGTTCGAGAGCATGCTGCAGGCACGTTGCACCGGTGCAACGAGCTTGCAAAGCTCCAGAGAAGTTTGATGGGGGACCCTCGGAGATTTATGTCCTTGGAGGGTGTTCGCCCCCCCTCCCCAAAGAAACTGACGAGATAATCCTGCCAAATAGCATGGAGCCATCTTGCTCAAGGGACCGCTCAGCTTTCATGCGTCCAGGTGCTCAAGGGCCCAGAGAAGGACGACTTGCGCCTGAGTGCCCGTGTCTCAGGAGCAGATGCGACCAACAGCATTCTTGCCGCGGAGTCCATTGGAGTTTGTTCAGCAAGATGCATGAGGTGTTGGACTTGAATGCGGCTGCCTTCAAGTGGTGCAGAGCCCAGTGTGCAAAACAGCATTGCTGGCGTTGCCTGAAGCAGCTTCAAAAAAGGCAACAACATGTCCTTTCATCTTACTTTGGAGAGCGGACCTTGTTTTCCTGCGCGTCACAGAGCACCTCTGTTTGGGAATTCACCTCGGCCCGGGAATTATCAGCAGCGGGCGGTAGCTTCTCGTTTCGCTCAGCTTGTGCCTTCATCCCAGCGCAACCCTACCAAAAGCCTAGCTTTGTTTGGTGGCTTCCAAAAAAGAAGAGCAAAGGTAACCACTGGTGTTCACGCTTCGCGTGCATGTTGGAGGTCGACCCAGGGACACACCCACATGGGTGTGGCTTTGTCCAACTTGTGGGAGCTGTCCAGTTTGAGTGTTTCTGCCCGGGCTTTCTTGGGGCCCAGGTACATCGCCCGCGGCTTCGCGCTGGTCGGAGTTGTTTGGGAGTACCTGGGGCCACAAGAAAGTGCACACTTGGTGGCCTACCAGGCCCGGGCGTTCAGCCCGGACACGCCAAACATGGCGCAACGGTCTATATTTATCATCACATTTAGTGTAACTACCAGGGAATGGAGGTTACTCACCAAAATTCCATGTCAGTTGGGGACACAATAAGTATTGACCATGCCACATGCCTTAGAATGACGAGGCCACCCTAAATGTTTATTTCGCCTTACATGTTTCCGTATCAACCCCTAAGCGAGAAAAAGTAAATGTACCCAAATCGCAGTGGCAGGTTATGCAGCGAACCTCCAGGAAAGCGGCCAAGTGTGCGGCTCAGGCGACGGAAAGGGACTGCTGTGCCTCAAAGCTGGGTCTCACCTTGCTCGAGTTCAGTCGGTTCTTGTATCCTACGTGATCAGGGAAGCTTGTTTGAAGGACTCTCCCAAGAAACATGGAAGTGGACAGCCCTTTTTTGGAAGGCAAGTTTTCGGTTTCAAAGGGAACACCTGTGCACTTCCATGTGTGCTTATGGGAGGATACTTTGCCAGAGGGGCTCTCTCTCTTATTGCTAATGACTTGAGCGCCAGTGGTATCAGGGGAACATGGGCGAGCCAAGGAGTGACAAAGCCATCCTCTTCCGCTCCGAGGTCATTGGAGAGGTGTGGTTTGCAGCGCAAGCATGACGATACATATTTAGAATGCACACACACAAACACATCGGACATGCTCACACTTTGGCACCTGAACACCCTCACAGCCTCGAAAGCTCACACACACAAGCAGACACTGATGAACCGACACACATCTAAAGACTCCTGTGTTCATGCTCTCACACGGTCGTTGACCTTTGCAGCCTGGTGCTCTTACACATGCGCGCACACAGACACGTACGCATACATGATGGCATGCATATACATACACATAAACACATACATATACGTACAAAAGGGCGTACATCCATCGATCCATACATGCAGCACTGCATGCATGCATGCATACATACATGCATACATGCATACATACATGAATACATGCATGCATCCATACATACAGTCCATACATACATGCATGCATACATACATACATACACACATACAGTCATACAGTCCATACATACATACATACATACATACATACATACATACATACATACATACATACATACATACATACATACATACATACATACATACATACATACATACACTACAAGCATGCATACATGCATGCATGCATGCATGCATGCATGTATGTATGTATGTATGTATGTATGCTTCCATGCATGCGTGCGTGCATGCATGTGTGTAAGTACATGTATGTACATGTATGTGCATGTATGTACATGTATCTGCATGTATGTACATGTATCTGCATGTATGTACATGTATCTGCATGTATGTATGTACATATGTGTGTATGTATGTATGTATGTATGTATGTATGTATGTATGTATGTATGCATGCATGCATGCATGCATGCATGCATGTATACATGCATACATGCATACACACACATACGTACATATATACATATATGCAGACATACATCCATGCGTACATACACTCATTTACTCCATCCATCCATCCATCCATCCATCCATCCATCCATCCATCCATCCATCCATCCATCCATCCATCCATCCATCCATCCATCCATCCATCCATCCATGCATACGCACATACGCACATACGTACGTACGTGCATACGTGTGTACATCCATCCATCCATCCATCCATCCATCCATCCATCCATCCATCCATCCATCCATCCATCCATCCATCCATCCATCATTCCATCCATCCATCCATCCATCCATCCATCCATCCATCCATCCATCCATCCATCCATCCATCCATCCATCCATCCATCCATCCATCCATCCATCATCCATCCATCCATCCATCCATCCATCCATCCATACATACATACATACATACATACATTCCGTTGCACTATATAACACTACATCACCCTACATTGCACTACTTGCACTATATACACCCTTCTACATTACGCTACATTGCAGTACATTGCAATACATGACTCTACATGAAACTATAGGACGCTACATTACGCTACACTACATTATACCACACTACTACATCACATACACACAGACACACAGCCTAGCGGACACAAACAGACAAAGACAGACATAGACACAGACAGGTACAGACAGACAGAGACAGAGAGAAAGAGAGATAGAGACAGAGACAGAGACAGAGACAGAGACAGAGACAGAGACAGAGACAGCGACAGGCAGACCGACAGGGCATACAGATAGATAGACAGGAAGACGTACAAGCATACACACCTACCTCGCTGCCGACCTACCTACCTACATACATACGTACAAACATGCAAGTTAGAAAGATACAAGCATGCGGACGGACGGACAAACAGACTCACCCCAGTATGTAGGTACAGACGAACAGAGGCAGAGAGAGAGAGAGAGATAAACAGACGGAAAGATAGACAGACGGGCAGACGAAGGCACATGCGCAGATTCGTACATACGTACGTACATACATACAGACACACACAGACACATAGATGCCGAATTGCCCAGCTACCTAGCTACCTGCCTACCTGCCTACCTACATACATACGCTTGCAACTTTACACTGAAGCGCTGAGCCACTGGCACACTTGTTATGTGAACAAGCGGTGTGCAGTTACGCACTTCTGCACTTGCTTGCTGTTTTGCTTGCTTGCTGTTTTGCTTGCTTGCTTGCTTGCTTGCTTGCTTGCTTGCTTGCTTGCTTGCTTGCTTGCTTGCTTGCTTGCTTGCTTGCTTTCTTACACACCCGCTTTCTCAGGTCATCAGCCTCACCTACCCAGACAAGTCCGGGCCCTTTGATGTGGGACACTCAGCATGATGAGATTGGCCCGCCGAACTCGCGTTTGTGCCGCGGTTTTGACGCCTAACGGTCGCTGTGTTTCGGTCGGGTTTCCGTCGGCGCGCTTTTGCGCGTTGGGTGTCGTCCTGTTTGCACACACGGAACCTCAGGTGACCATCCGAGGGTGGATTGAGTCGCAGCCACAGTGTGTTTTGTTCCTTCGTCGGTTGTGCTCGCACTGACCGGGTGACCACACGCTGACTGGAGGTCCGAACAGTTGCACATGGTGGACTCCCGAAACCTCTCCTCCTTCAAGGCGCAGCTCTTTCAACCTGTGCGGTCCCAGCCGTGAAAGTTTGGAGTAAGGCAGATGGTGCTCACGCAATGCAGGCATGTTAGAACATGAGGCAGTCAGGTGCCTGAGTGTGATTCTTGTGAGCTGTGCAAGCTGAGGGAGAAAGCTTTACTGATCTCATCGACTTCAATGAAGCTTTCAAGAGTGGCCGGGCAGCCTTTCACAGGCGCCAAGCTGAGATGTATCTCCAGAGTGGCAGTCTTTCTTCTCCAACGATTGACCTATGGTTTTCTTCCTGCCAGGAAGCTTTCCCTCGTGCTGCGAGACGTTGAGATGACAAAGCTGTTTGTGAGAGAGGCCAAGGTGGCCGCCCTAGCTCCCGGCGTTCGTGTTTTGTTTCGCTTGGGCTCTATTTCAAGATATGTCAAGCAGCATGGAAGGCCCCAAGGAACGGCAAATCTGTTAATGCCGATTGAGACTAGCCAGCAAGTTAGCTAAGGGTTAGCCGCTACTGAAGGCCAGTCAAGTCAAGCATTTGCCAGTGCACCCCGCGCCCCTCTCTCACTCTCCTAACCAACCACGATGAAACTTCCTCTCTTTGCCTTGGCTTGGGTGGCTCCCTGTCGGTTTTGCAGAGTGTGTCTCTGTGTGTGTGAGTCTGTGCATTTGTGTGTGTGTGTGTTTGTGTGTGTGTGTGTTTGTGTGTGTGTTTGTGTGTCTGCCTGTCTGTTTGTCTGTCTGCCTGCCTGCCTGCCTGCCTGCCTGCCTGCCTGCCTGCCTGCCTGCCTGCCTGCCTGCCTGTCTGTCTGTGTGTGTGTGTGTGTTTGTGTTTTTTTTCTTGTGTGTGTGTGTGTGTGTCTGTGTGAGTCTGTGTGTGTGTGTGTCTGTGTGTGTGTGTCTGTGTGTCTGTGTGTGTGTGTGTGTGGGTCAAGTGCAAAATCCGTGGCAGGCGCGCCGCTTTCGCAAGGTCAAGTAAAGATTTCGTGGCACGCGCAGCACTTTCGCCTTTTGCAGCCGGGGTAGAGAGATGAATAGATAGATAGATAAACAAACAGAAGATAGATAGACAGATAGATAGATAGATAGACAGAGAGATAGAGAGATACATAGATAAGAGAGGTAGATAGATAGATAGATAGGTAGATGGATAGAGAAATAGATAGACAGATAGATAGACAGATAGATAGATAGATAGATAGAGAAATAGATTAGACAGATAGACAGAGAGAGAGACAGAGGCATAGATAGAGAGATAGAGAGATAGATAGATAGATAGAGAAGTTAGATAGAAATGGATAGATAGATAAGAAGATAGATAGATATCACGAGATATAGATAGATAGGTAGTTAGGTAGATAGATAGGTAGAGAAAGATAGATACATAGGTAGACAGATAGATAGACAGAGAAGAGACAAAAGAAAGAACAGCACAAAAACAAGCAAATGAAAGAAAGAAAGAAAAGACAGATAGAAAGAAGGACAGAAGGGAGGAAGGAAGGAAAGAAAGGAAGACAGGAAGAATGACGGAGAAAAAGAAACAATGAAAAGGAAGAAGAGAAAAAGAGTCAAGAAAAGAAAGAGAAAGAGAACTATAGTTTTTATATTTTTGAAAAATCCGCCCACCGGCTTCGCCGGCTCTACTGGTATGAGGAGTGCGTTGGTTTCCAATCGTTTTCCATGGGTTTCTCGTGGTTGGCTGCGCGTGCGTATGAAGCGCCAAGGGGCAGCCACATGAGTCGCCCTTCATGGTTTTGCAAAAAAGCTCCTTGGCATGGACCATCTTGCAGGCCCAAGATCGCGAGCTGGCAACAGCTGCGCCAAAAACAAGGGTGCGCAAGGACCGGATGTGCCAGTTTGCGGAAGGGGGTGGAGATGCGAAGGTCGAAATCCTAGGGCCGACTTTTTGTGACGTATGCAGTCGTTTCCTGCTGTTTCTTTGCAAACATGATGCAATGACTCAACCATTGTGACATGCAAGGCAAGTCGAACTCATTCTGTATGGAAACACACGCACGACACTGGCGCACGCTTGATTTCAGATCTCAACAAACTGTCACCTACCTTTGTCAAAGCAAAGGGTGGAGCATGCAGACGACGACGGTGTTTGCCATGTTTGCGTTGTATGTATAAACAACATGCTGAACGATGTTCTGATATCGACAATCTTGCCTTCAACCAACACGTTTTGATGAGAGTATGCAATGTGCAGTACATCGGCACGCATCGCAAGGCACTAATACAAGTGATTGCAAGTATAAAGTCTGACAACACGTGCCCAGCCCGCGACGGCACACCTGTGTCGTTTTGTTCCGTCCCGCTTTGTGCGTGCAGGAGTTGCGGCTTGGTGGCCGGCGCCGCATCAAGATCCTTTGAGCGCCACAACAAAAAGCCGAGTGCAAGACTTGCTTCTTTTCCAAGGCTACCTCTGAAGGCAGTTGATGGATGCCACTTGCGAATGCGCGACTTGGAGTCTGAGTTCGGGACTTGGCTAGATGCTGAGATGCTAAGAGCAGCTAGAAGTTAAACTAGGCGCGCAGGGCAACCATTAAGCACAGGCCAGCAGGCAGTCGGCAGCATGAATGCAAATAAGAATGAGTGCCCAGATGAGCTTGAGCGCGCTCGCCGCCGGCCGTTCCAGCTGAACAGCCAGGATTATACAGTCATGAGTCTGCCAGATGTGCTAAGTGTGTTTCGCACGGATCCCGACAATTCGGACATGCTCTTCAAAAATCACAAGATCAATCGAATGCCTGGCATACGCGTTCAGATGGCACTCAGAGCTCTACCGTCTTCAGTTTGAGTCCATCCTTGCCAGTGCATGCGTAGTCCTCGTAGGTTGCCCAAGGCGCCATGAATGACCCGCGGAAGGAGTATATCGTTCAATGCATCATCAGTGTGCTGAATATACCACGCAATGAGTTTCGAAGCAACACGACCTCCAATACATGCTTGGAGAAGTTCTTGGACCATCCAAACGAGAAGGTTCTCCAGGCGGTGGAGAATGATTCCAGTGACACGTCGAAACGCACTGTAACTTTGCAGCTGGGCTTTTCCTCCTACATGGAGGGGGTTCCAGAGATGCATTTCATCAAGACTTCCTATGAGCCATTGACAGAAGGTAACATCCCCAGACTCGTCATGATATCGTCATTGCGAATGTCCCCGGTGCGGAGTCTCTTCTACAACGTGCGCGAAGTCTTCATGCCGCTTTTGGTGGAGAGTGGCAAAGAGGCGGACGGCCTGGAGGGGCGCTTGACGGACTGCTTGGTGGAGCTGGACGCGGGGCTCAACGCCTCCCTGCGCCGGGGCCTGCGGAATCGCAACGTGGGGGACTTCGAGGATTCGGACGTGTCCGGCATCGTCACACCCATCGACGAGGTGCGGTTCTGGGAGGACAGGGCTGCGAAATTGGAGCCAGATTCTGAACGACCTTTTGAAATTGACAACCAAAGGAAGGTTGAACATGGGATAAACTCGGTGTAAACACCAGGGCTGAACATGGGCGGTTTTTGTTTGCATGTTCAAAGGGGCTATCAAGGAGCTGAAGAATGCGACCGGGGTGGGTGATTCGGCGGTGGACCGCGCCACGAAGTTCTCGGAAGCCTTGTCCCCCATTGCCTCGGACTTGGAGGCGTTGGGTTTGGACATCCGAATTCGGGGACCCCCAAGTGGTGGCGTTCTTGGTTTCTTGTTCAACTGGCCAACCTTCAAAGGGTGCCCGCAAAAGAGACACCCAAATGTAAAAAAACAAAACAAAGAAAACAAACAAGCTTGGTCCCTGCAAAGGGAAGCCAAAAGGAAGGTGAGCCACAATCAAAACCTGGGTAGATGAAGGTTAGTAAGGGGCAGTCCCAGCCAGAAATAGTTGCGGCCGCCTTCTTAATTCTTTACATGGTTCTGGGTAGACCATTTCAATACCGGGTTTTGATTGTGACTCAGGTGTTGAAGCAATAGGCATTTCGACGTGTTGAAACAGTTTGCCCAAGCTTGGAGGAGATGTCCAAAAAGACCTTCGCGCAACTCCTGGAGTTCACGGACAACGTGATGGAGGCCCTGGATCGCTTGGGTTTATTCTATTAAGGAAAAAGCAACCAGGTAGAAAAAGCAAAAGTGAAATTCAATTCATATGTCAATAAGGGGGTTGAATTGCTCAACTCTGAGGCAGTGGATGGTTTGTGGCAGAGTGAGGCCACCCCGGCATATCCTGCGGCACGAATGCTGCACTTCTTGAGGATTCTGTCTGGCGCCTTCGGGCGCTGTGTGCAGTCCCGGCTCAACAGCCTGAACGTGTGGACCTCCTCCTTCTCGCAAGTGTCTAAGCACATTCGCGAGGGGCACAAAGTCTGCGAGCGATGGAACGAGATTACGCTGGATCTCACAGATGTGCAGTGGCGATCCACTGAGCACCTGGGCCGTAAACTGAGCTCCCAAACTTCAACTCTAGTTACCTTCTGAACCCCTCGCACCACTCAGCAATTCTGTTCGCACGAGCAAGGAAGATTTCCAAACTCACGTTTACTACACTTATTTTAACTTTAGTCTCCAAGCCCACTCTAAGGTCTCGCATTTGACCCTACCCAATGCCCCCAACAAAAACATGTTCCCAATCCATTGGCCTGCATATTATTCTTTGGGCTTTTTTCAAAATCTGTGACCCTTCAGATTGGTTTCTTTTGGTGTCCCCCTAAACCACAACAAAAGAGGCACGAAAAGCATGAGAGACACGTTCGTGCTCAGGAATACGTGGGAGGGGGAGGCGTACAAGGACCATTTCCTCAGCAACCTGGCGACCCGCATCCAGGAGGTGAGCCAGCTGCGGGGCCAGCACGATCAGATCCTGAAGCTGCTGAGCGAGGAGGAGCTCAAGGCCATGCAGGCGAAGGGACTTGTGTTCAACTCTCTGTGCGTGTCAAAATGGAGCCAGAATTGGTGGGCCTCTCGAAATGGGCCAAACTCGGAATGCCTGGTGGGCTTACAGTCAGAGATTCTGAGATCTCTGGGTTTTGGGCGCTCAAGAAGCTGGTTGGACCAGTTTGCAGGGTCCCGTTTTTGTGACGTCAACGAGCCAATGCCACGCTACACAGCGTGCGACGGTGTTTTGCGTTTCTGGCTATGAATTCTACCATAGAACCTCGAGCTGGTTGGTGTTCATACATTCCATATTTTCCCAGCAAAGAGTCCAAGCACTCCAGAGTCAAACCCATTTTGCAAACCAACGACTAAAAGAGCTGTGGCACTGAGGTGGAGAGCTGCTTCGAGCCCTTCGCCAAGCTGTCGGCCTTCAGCTACAACGAGTACACCGTCCCCGCCTGGCTCTCCGCGCTCGGCGACTATGAGGCCCGCATGGCGCCCATCGAGGCGCGAGTGGCGGAGCGCCTCAGGCGGGGCGAAATTGGAAAGAACTGGATGGACTCCTTTGAAGGGAAGCCGAAACCCCTGGCTCTGACCATTGTTTACACTGGTCCTTTTTTAAACAAGTGATTTGATGACCCTGTTTGGCTACCCCGTTTGTGAATAGTCTTAGGACTCTGCAGAAAGTCAACGAATACCAACCACAAGTGGTCCCTAATTTTGAAACATACCCTTTTAAAGAATCCAGACCCTGGTTTAGACTGCGTTTGTTTGAAACAACTCCTGTCTTGACTGGTCCCCTTTCAAGGAAAAGCATGGGAGGTTGCTTAAGCCATGGTTCTAGGGGTTGATTTTCCATTCTGTTCAAGCTGTTTGCCCAGAGTTTTGGGTGGTTTTCTAGAAGAAGCATCCTGGAAGGAATGGGGAAGTTAGTGTGAAACATGGCTCAGATTCAAGGGGCTAAATCGCCCGTCGCGTCAGGGCGGAGCTCTTTGCGAAGACGTCCAACCCCGCGCAGACGGTGCGGGTCTTCCAAAGGTATCAAGATCTGCTGGAGAGGCAAGGTCCAGATGGGTGAAGGGTCCCTTTTTAATCAACCGAGGGGTTGATGAATCTTGGCATTCCCTTGGTGTCACAAAAGGGATTTGAACCCCACAACACGGGCTTCCCTTTTAACATACCCCCAAAAGGGTACTCTCCAAAATGCACGGCCAGATGGGCCCCATGGCTATGAGCCACGGGCTCCGGGGGTTCGCCTTTGAAACAGTTAGTTCAACTTTACGAGGCGCGGTGGGCTATTGCGACAAGCCATGGGTGAATTGTTGCTTGTTTTTGGCTGCCATTCGGGGCATGGGACGATGGGCCATGGGGGTGTGGGCCTCCTCACTTTGGCAGATGGGCCGAGGGCTTCTCTTTTGCTTTCCTTTGCCTTGAAGTTCGGACAGTCCAGAGGCCCGAGCACAGGGGCAAACATACTGAGTTTTGTTCAGCCGTCAGGTAAGAGGCCTCTTTGAGACTGCGTCATGGGACCGACCTACCCCACAGGAAGGATGATGTTGGCTAGCGCGGGAACACTAGCAAGTCGTGCAGTAACTAGAGAGGGTCAAGACTTCTTGCAATTGGATGATCGCGGTTCAATCAATCAGGCCACTTTCATCAGTCATTGAGGTGCTTGTCAACCGTTGATGGCAATCTCTTACAATTACTTCAGAGCCATGGTTGGTTTCTCTGGGTTGCCCGTGGAAAGCCCGAAATAGCGGATGGGCCCTCTTTTGTTGCGACAAGCACCTAGATCCTTAGTAACGCTCAGGCAGACCGATTTCCCTTTGACCCCCAACTGATGCGCGCTCGTTTGGTTCAATCTCCAAGGGGCATGGCTCTTGGTAGGACCCTCAAATTGGTTTCTCTTCGGTGTCGGCTTCCATTTGGCTTCAAATCAAACCAACAAAAAGTACACACCTAAGCAGATATAACTGTGTACTTCCGAATATACGTATTAGTAAATAGATTCATACAGAAAGGGTTGGGTACACACACACATATATATATATACACATATACACATTCTATAATATCGATGTATATGCAGACATAGTTGGACTACAGGAAGAACATCCGGGAGTCCCTGACCAACGAGCGGGAGCGGCTCTTGACGGAGCTGGACGACTTCCTGGGGCGCGTGCAGTCGGAGCTGGAAACCTTCGACCCCAACAACCTCCCGGCCGGCAGAGGACGGGAGCACGTCGGGAGGGGACTGGACAAAATCCGCGCGCCCGTTGGCCCGTTGGTAGGCGCGCCCCAGCATTTTTTTAGGGTTGTTTTGAGGGGTTCAATTCTAGTGGATCAGGATTCTGTCCATACGAGGGACGGTGGGAAGGGAAGGGGTGGGCAGGGTGAGGGGTGGGAAAGGTGGAGGCGGAGTGTGCCAATCGTTCAGATCAAACATGTGTGAAGCTGTGAGCAAGCTCAATCCAACATGTTGTTCGGAATCGGTAAAATCATCGTGAGTGTGTCTTTGGTTTTCCCACCTCAATGGCTGCATGAGGCCCAGTCGCACAGGGAGCTACAGTTAATTCCCCCATAGTCCAAGTGGCGCACAAGGCGGACCCCGTAATTGTCCATGCTTTCTGGTAGGTTTACTGTCAATATTTCCAGAATCATATCGAAGGGATTGTTTTGGCGAACCATGTGAGGAATGAGCCTGCATGCCCGCAAGATGGTCTGGGTGGAGCACTTCCGCAGTAAGGCGGATTTGGCCGCCCGGCCCCTGGCGGGCTTCCTCAAGGACCTGCACTCTGCAGGCAAGGCGCCCTGGCTCAGCAGAAAGCAAACTTCGTGCCGTCGCTTTTGCGCCACACTTGGTGAAATGGTTGAGGTGCTTTTGTGAAGATACCCCAAAAACTTGGGGTTGTTCTCAAGGAAAACGGAAGGGAAAGCAACTTTTCCAGAGCTTACACAATGTTTTGGACAATTTCTATCCCCTTTTTTGTTTGAAGGTGTCAAAATGGAGACTTGCCAGTGACCTTCAGGGATGTTTTGGGCACACTGCTGCTGGTTCCTTTGGCCAGAGGTTTGCAGCGTCGCCTCGCAGGGAAGCCTTGTGGACTCTCTCACACAATGTACAAGCGACTCCAGCTTGTGGTAGCGCAAGCTTTAGTTTCCTTTTGCAAGTTTGCACAGCGAAAATACACTCAGTCACTCGCCAAGACCCGGTTGAACGCGACAGCAATGGCTTCCTTATCCTGAGATCAACGAGGAAGCTAGCGTTTGATTTGTCCATTGGTTCGTTTGCATTCCACCACAAGGGTGCGCAACTCAGGTGAGCGGCACCTACCGCAAGGTCCGAGCCGAGCTGAAGGAGTATCGGAACAAGGCATACAAGGCGGGGCTTGCCAAGATGTGGCTGGATCCGCAAAGGGTTGCAGTCTTCAGGCTTCTTTGTATTTTGGGAAGAGCCAAATTGCTCCCATTGAGAGGTTGCTCCCAGTGGTTGCTAGTCAACGCTTGTCAAAGTGAATTTTGGCACCCCCGGCACCATCCAACCTGTAGCTCTTGCTCTTGTGCCCTTTGGAGGGCGGAAGAAGAAACCCCACCCCACACGGGTCTATTTTGCAACCACTTCCAGATACGGAGCAGGTTTTGTTTGTTCGAGTCTGCTTGCTGGTGCTCAGCAGGGAATGAGGGAATGCCCCCTAGCCTATAAAACATCCCTCCAACTGGTGGTTTCCTTTAAGGGGATCAAAGCCAGGGTTCATTCCCACAATACCTATCGCACCGTTTGAGTCTGCCATGTTCACCGCAACGCCCGGAGGACTGGTGCGAGGAGGTAGAGAGTCAGCTCCGGGACCCCGAGGACCCCATCGCCCTGGAGATGAATTCCCGCGTCATGGACTTCGACACCGCTCAGCAGGGCGCCCTCAAGGCGAAGGTTTCTTTTGGGGGTTCCAAGCTTACAAACCACCCAGAAAGGCTAGTTGGATCTGGGGGTTGATAAAAAGTTCCTTTGCATGGGATGACCATTGGGGAAGCCACTGAAAAGATTAGATCTTTCCACTAAATGGGAAAAGTTGCCCATCATTCGGGGGCCAGGAATATTGATCAACCCCCATTTCTGACGTGGAAGTTCTGATTCTATTCTTTTCCCCAAGGGCAACTTTAAGCACCTTTGGGAAAGGCCAACTTGATGTGGCTTTCTTTCGTTTTGGTGGTTGACAGGCAGGTACTTGTAGGGCAGGAGGTTGGGAAATTGAAATGGCTCGTATCAAAGTGACAAGCTACTTACCAGGTGGGCTCGCTTTGATATCAAAGAAAGGGTTGGAGACTGTTTCTTGTTTTTGTTAAAGAATGAATTGAGCTAGTGATTCCCATGATTTCGTAATTGCTTGGCCACCATTCACTTGTTGTTTTGTTCTCATGTCCATTTTCTGGCAGATCACCTACTCGGAGCGACTCATCGAGCTGGTGAAGGAGGCCCGGGTCTTCGAGCAGATGGGCTGCAACATCCCCAGCAAGGTCAAGGCGGCGGTGCAGGACCTTGAATCGCTTCGCCGCAAGGGGCCCAACTGTTGGGCCCTGCCCGCCAGGCCAGATGGGAAGCCCGCCTTGGCCAGAGACGCGCTCTCTCTTTGGGGAATGAATGGGCGCATGCATGTTTGAATGCCGAACCCAGGCGAGACAGGGAAGCGCATGAGAAACTGGCAAACATACAAACTGGCAAACATACAAATGGGAATCATGAAGCCACTGGGACCCAGCTTCCCCCCATATCCAACCTCTTGGGAGCGCCACATCTGACTTCCGAAGCAGACGCCCACACATTTCATTTCGCGAGGACGGGCTGAAGTTCTACCGCTTCGCGGTGCAGCTGAAGCAGGTCTGCAACTTCTACAACACCTTGTCACATGGCCGTGATTGTTTGATAGGGAACCACCTCAAACGAGGTTGGTGGACATGAATTCAATAATTTAGGGCATCCACCAAATTCTCCCCAAGATGTGTACTGACATCGCTAGACTTGGTAGACAGTCGCCGACCTTAGCTCCCGAGGTCGGCGGAGCTGCTGCCCTCGCAGAAGCTGATGGTGCTGCAGCCAGCTTTGGCCTTCGAGCAGCTCTTCAACGAGAAGAGCGGCGCTGGGCTCAGTTGTGCTCAACAGGTGATTGAAAGGAATGGGGACTACCAATGGTTTTCAGGTTTGGGAAAGGCAGAGATCCCCGCAAGAAAGAAACCGCAAGGGCTGGTGGGGTGGTTCATTGGGGTCACTTTCTTGTACCATACTGAGGGGGCGGGTGAAAACGAATTGGACCCGCTCTCTTGGTGTGGTTTTCAGAGAAAAACGTCGAAGTTGAGGGCTGGTTTGAAAAGGAAAGCCAACGAAGCCAAATGTGGGGTTGTTTCAAAGGGAAATTTGGAGCATCAAAATGGCACAAGGCAACGACACGTTGCTATTGGGAAGCATGCCAGATTCTAATCCACAGTCAGACTTGGCGTTTGCCCTCACAAACGTGGCGGCAGAAAAGCAGCACTAGCAGCTTAGCATGTCTCTCAGCCACTGCCCAATCCGGATGGCCTTCATTTTATTTTTTATTTTTTAGGTCAGTGGCTCGAAATCCGATAACCTAACTGGGTCTGAACTGTCTCCAAACCAGTGGTCGGACTACCCCCCTCCCCATTGGGCTGTTTGCCAAGTTTGCATTTAGCTGGGCTGAGTGGTGAAATCCTCGTGTCGTCACCCCTACCAGCAGTCAGTCTGGAAGATGGTCTAAAACCCCCCTCTACTGTGGCCGTGGCTTCTCGCGAAAGTGTTCACGAGGAAGGTGCCTGCTTATTTGACTGCATTGGAGCACACCGGGGTTTCCTAGGAAGGAACATACTTGCCCTTCGCTTACATGCAACAACTCCGAATACTTAGTATCGAGATCCATTTCAAGGCTCAGGCCTGTTTGAGGCACAGTACTGCATGGCGACATGAGAATCACGTGCTTTCCAGGATTCACGCACGACCGCATGTTGTTTTTCTCCGGCGCCTGTCTGCGCCTATGAATGCCACCACTCCAATACCGAAAGTAGATCACGTCCTTGAGGCATGAAGAAGGTCCAGTGGAACAAGCTGGATCAATTGGAGTCCTTCACCCGCCACGTCAAGGAGGGTGCAGAGCGCCTGCGCGGGGTGAACCGGCGCCTGCGCAACGGCCATAGCCAGGCGGGGGGTTATGTTGCTCCGTACTCATCAACTGGATGGAACCCTATGCATGGGATAGTCTACCCACTAGCCGCTGTTGGAGCATGGCCCTAGACAAGGGGATCCAGTTTTGGGCGTGTCCACGGACCTAAAGCTGGAGGAACCCCAGCTGAGGTGTCACAAGAGGTGATCCAACTGGCCAACATCAGCCTACTGCGCCAGCGCGATCAGTGGAAGCAGAAGCTGACACAGATCCAGAAGGCCATCGATGCCACCATCGGCGCCTGCGGGTGCCAAGTGGCAGATGCCAAGCCATGGAAGTCCCACTGGGACTATCAGATCTTCAAAATCATGGAGGTGGGCCTGTCCTTTGTCAAGGGTGTACGTGTTGGGGGTGTGCAAAATGGTGTAAAGCGGGACGCCCATTGCAGATCCACCAGTTGTTTTTGGGGTTTCTCTTTGAAGACAAGAGGTACAGTACCGCTTTGGTCTGGAGAGCCTCAATGAGAACTTGCCCGAGATGAAGGCGGACTTGATCCTGGCGCAGAAGCAGCTGAAATTGAAGCCACCGTTGGAAGAGCTCAAGACGTTGTACTTCAAGGAGGGTTGGTTTCAAAATTGTTCTAAAGAGCCAGACCTGGTCCCCCCCCCCAAGAAAAGCCAAACAGGAGGCTGTGAAACAGGGTGGGGTTGAATCGCCCAACCTGTTGCAAGAATAGTGGTTTCAGCATATTTTAAACTGAAGCCTGTCAAGGAGATCAAGTCCTTCATCTCCCTACCTTTACAATTCAAGGGCCTGGAGGGTGCTGCCCACGTGTACAAGGTCATGCCGGACCGGAACGCGGAGGGGATCGCGGTGGTTTTCCAGAAGGCGAACGACTTGTTCGTGAAGGCAGGGGAGAGTCCAATAAGAGTTCCCCTTGAAACGGCTAGAAGATCAGCTTCTTGGAAGAGCCAATCTTCCCAGTTTCAGGTTAATTTCACTTTTGGCGGTGTATCCCTCCGGGATACATCTGGTGAATCTAGTGAAAACCCAGGTGCACCAGCTGCAGAACTCCTTCGCCCCATGGCTGGTGGTGGGCATGATGCCAGAGAGGGTCCAGGAGTTGGTGGATGAGATGGCGGAGCCCAAAGACTGGGACATGAACTTCAAGGCCATCAAGGCCAAGCGCAAGGCCAGAGACCTACCTCCAGGGACTAAAAGAAACCAGAGAACAAGCGGGACCTGCTTTGTTGGAAGCGCTGTGCATTTTGTTTGATCCACTCACGAAGTTTGAACCATGGCAAGTGTCGCAGCTCCAAGTTGTTCGACATATGCACGCATGAAGCCTCATGAGGGGTACATCGTTTCCACTACCTGTCATGGCCGGCTTTGATGCTGATATGCCCGTGAGCTGTTGCCCGGCTCACGTGAGGAGATGGACAAGATCCCGGACACTGTGAAGATAGACTGCTTCACCATCAGCACAGTGATCCTGAAGTCTGTCATAGAGGAGACCCAACGCTTTCAATAGGCTTTCTGATATTTGTTTTTTGAGATCTTCCAATTATTTTTGCCCGTTCCAGCAGACATATTGTATACTTGCCGCTCCTGGCCCCGACTCTCAGCGATTCAGACTTTAGAAAGGCACCCCCACAGGAGAAGCACGCACGCGTGCGCACACCCAAGCACACAAGCACATGCAGGACCAGCTCGAGCGGCTCAGCGACGCCCTGGTCATTGCCCTGCGGCGCAAGGCAATGGAGGAGGCCAAGACGGTGACAGGATTCCTGGACCAGGTCCCGCCGGCGCGATTGTCCAGGTTGCAAAACCGCGCGGAGCGTGCGGTTTCGTGTTCCTTCCGGGGCCTTTGGCGGTTTCACAAGGAATCCTGGGCTCCAGCTGTTGGGGTTTGATGGTTCCGTCCTCGTGGCCATGGTGAAACATGTCTCAAGCTGATACACGTCAAGGATTCCCACGTGAATTTGGATGCATCGTAGAAACTTTGGGGTTGGGAGGTTTCGACAAAAGTCGAATGGAGTGGCTTGCCCATTGGGTTATTAGCGAGGTTTGGCCAAGCTGTTGATTGCCACAGTTGAGGCTTTCCAATCGCCCGGCTTCGGGCATGTCAGTTATCTACGGGCCGGCAGCAACAGAAACATCAGTAAAACAGGAGGTCAAAGTTGGGTAACATCTCTAATGTTTGCCCCTACTGGATTTGATCAGAAGACCGGAATGCTTAGTTTGGCCACCAGGCAAATGTCCCTCCATTCCCCTTCCTGATGACTGTAGTCAGGATTTTACTCTTTTTGGACTCAGCAAACGACACCAAGCTTTCCCCCAAACTACCCTCTTTCCGACAATGATGGAAGCGGACGTAACGGGATGTAGTCTTCCAAACCCCTTCTGTCCATCAACGCACTCCCCATCAACTCCATTCTGCGTATCCATGTATCAGCAGGCGCTGGAGAAGCTGAACGTGCGCCCAGACACGGTGCAGGAGCTGGGCAAGGCCCAGGCGGATGCGGCCATTCTGATGGACCAGCAGCACGACGTCAAGAAGCAGCTGGACGCCGCGGAGGAGAAGAACAAGCTCCTGAAAGCGGTGGCCAGCGGCATTGACATGAGCCTTGACATGAGAAAGAGTAGATGAGTGGATGTGGTTGCGGGAAGGGTTGACGTGGGGATTCGGAAAGGTTGCGGAAGCGAAGCTTGTTGGGAACTGTTCGAATCTTTTTTTGTGCCTGTTTGGCGACAATCTGAAGCGATCAGGAATGAGGTGCACAACAAGTGGGATGATTTCCTGATCCGTTTGGAAACCTTCGAGCAGCTGGCCCACGATCTCCGGGAGGAGTTGCGAGGAAAGATGGATCAGCGCATCGTGTCCATGAACGGTGAAATCGAGAAGTTTGGGTCCCGCTGGCAGTCTCTCAAGCCAAAGCCCGCGGATGACTGTACCATCGAGGATGCCAGAAAGTATGCCAAGCAACTTGCTGGTGCTCAGGGAAGAGGGAATGACCGTATACAAAATTCCCTCGTGGTTTTCTTTAACGGGGATATCCTGAAAGGCCCTGTTGATTTGCTGAGAACCAAGGCAAATGACGGAATGGATGTCCGAGTGGGGCGTCCTCAAGGAACAGGTCACCGAGCTTCAAGCGGACTGCGGGGATTTCGGGCTGCCGCCCCCGGAGCTGTCAAACGTGGCGGAGTTGGAGGAGGGATGTGTCAAAACAGGGACTTGGATGCCCCCCAAAATATTGCGGTTTTCCCTGGGTTTGCCTCAATTTAAGGCCGCGCTGCAAAGGGTCCACTCAAAGAAACGAGCCGCCAGGACGACCTCAACAAGCAGCAGGCCAGCTGGAGCTTGTTCGAGGAGTTCACCACCCAGTTCGAGGAGCTGGAGAAGCAATCCTGGCTGGAGCTGCGCCCCAGACTCTTCACCTTGCAGGAGGGTTGAGTCCTTGTGGCTCCAGTTTGGCAGTGGAGGGATGCTTAAGTTTACAGTCTTCTGGTCCACCCTCCTCTGAGAGGACCAGCAAACTTGGAGGGCTCATTCACTTGCCGGTGAGTTCTTTTTGGGGGGAGTCTTTTTTGCCATGTCCTTCAGGACCTGGCGCAGAATTGGCTGGTGAGGCTGCGGGAGGTGTCAAGGGACCGGGTCACCAGCCTGCTGGCGGAGAAGGTGCAGCGCTTGAACCTGGCCCAGCCGGCGCTGAAGGCCATGACCGGGGAGCCCTTCGAGCGGGAGCACTGGAAGAGCCTCTTCACCCTCTTGGGCCTGCCTACCGATCTTCGCCTGGAGGAGCGCCTCACAGACGAGCCGTTTTAGAACACGTCCCCTGCCACAAGCCAAACAAACTGGGGGGTAATGTTGAGGATATATGACCCAGGAGCTGAGGTTTGGGCACCTGACCGGCCGGCTCTCGCTGATCGCGGAGAGGATCGACGACCTCAAGGAGCTCACGGCACGGGCCATTGGGGAAGTCACCATCCGGGATGCGGTGATGGAAGTGTCCGCCTGGTTCGAACAGGCAGAGTTCAACTTCATGGATCATCAGGTGAAAGGTGCCGTCGTGCCACTCATCAAAGACTGGAAGGACCTCATGTCCGAGGTTTCGGAGAAGCAGAGTCTTTGTGGATCGCTCAAGGACTCCCGCTTCTTTGGAAACTTTAAGGATCAGGTGGACAAGTTTGAAGAGAAACTGGCACTGCTGGATGGCCTGCTATTGTGCATGAACAAGGTTCAGAGAAAGTGGGTCTACCTTGAGCCGATCTTCGGGCGAGGCTCTCTACCTCGTGAGAAGGAGCGTTTCGACAAGGTCAACAACCAGTACCGCCAGATCATGAAGAACGTGGGCTCGCAAAAGAAGGTGAACTACTTGTGCACGGTGCGTGGGCTGAAGGATCAGTTCGCCAATATGCTGGACCAGCTGGAGCGGTGCCAGAAAGCTCTCAACAGTTTCCTGGAAGAGAAGCGGTCCGCATTCCCGCGGCTGTACTTCATCGGCGACGAGGATCTGCTGGAGATCTTGGGTCAGTCCAGCAACCCAGAAGTGATCCAAGCTCACTTGAAGAAACTCTTTGCGGGCATCGCTACCGTGGACTTCGACCCCAACATCACCCGTATTGTGGCCATGAACAGTTCCCTCAAGGAAAATGTGCCATTGGGCAATCCAGTGGTGGTGCGAGAGGGCGAAGAGCCTTTGCCAGTCGAGGAGTGGTTGTCAAACTTGTCCAACGAGATGTTCTCAACGCTTGCAACACAGCTTCAGGGCTGTTATGCTCAGTCGGAGATGGATATGCAGCAGTTCGAGAGGTACCCTTCTCAACTTCTCTGCTTGAGTGCAAACATCCACTTCACCTACAGCGTTGAGAAGTTCATGAGCAACGGCCAGCTTCTCCAGTTGAAGGGCGACCTGCAATCGCAGCTGAGCTCTTTGACATCTTTGTCCTTCGATGGGGCCCTTGCTCAGGCAAAGTTGAAATCTCTGATCCTGGATCTGATCCACAACATCGCAGTGCTGGAGGACCTCTTGGTGCAGAAGGTTCAGAAGCTCTCGGATTGGAGCTGGTTCCGGCAGCTGCGGTACTACCTAAAGCAGGGGGCCAGCATGCAGCAGAAGCCCTGCAGTGTGCGCATGCTGGAGTGCGAGCAGTTCTACTCCTTTGAGTACCAGGGCAATGCACCGAAGTTGGTGCATACGCCTTTGACGGACAAGTGCTACTTGACGCTGATGCATGGCTTGCACCTGGGCTACGGGGGGAATCCCTACGGCCCAGCCGGCACGGGCAAGACGGAGAGTGTGAAGGCGCTGGGCGGGTGTCTGGGGCGACAGGTCTTGGTCTTCAACTGCGACGAGGGCATCGACTTTCAGGCCACTCGTTTCCCATTGCTTAGAATATGGGATAGGTTTCAATTTAGCAAGTACATGTTACTACATGTTTCAAGATCTCTCCGATTTTCCCAAGGACGTTTGGGGAACCTCAATTTCCACGGAAGACCCAGCCATTTCCCAGGCCATGGGCCGGATCTTCGTGGGCCTGGTGCGGTGTGGGGCCTGGGGCTGCTTCGACGAGTTCAACCGCTTGCTGGAGGCGTGCCATAGACCGGTTCCATCTGATTCCTTCGCGGTTGAGCCTTTGGGGTTGGCAGGGATGGCTGTTAGTTGTTAACTTTGGGATTTCAAGTTAACTGAAACTATACGGCTTCAAACAGCGTGACCATGGCACAGGAGCAGATGAGCGCCATCTCCCAATCCGTGCAGCTGATCCAGGCAGCCATCAAGAATTCCCACTCCACCGTGCACCTCTTGAACCGGGACGTGCAGGCACGACCAGGAATGGAACGGAACAATGAAATGCGCTGAAAGGGAAACACAACAACTGGCACTTGGCCGGAGGGTTGTAGGGTTGTGACATGTTGGGGGATGTTTTTTGCTACGTCTCGTCGGTGGGGCGGGCCAGCCAAGCCCGGACAATTCCAGAGAACAATCATTGGGGCCCATTTCTTTGTTCACCTTACATGTTGTATTTCCGAACATCGCTCTCTTTGGGGGAGAAATTGGGTAAATGATGCCTCCCAACCCCCGCCCACGTCAGGTGAACCACAATGCGGGCATCTTCATCACCCTGAACCCTGCCACCAAGGGCTACGGCGGGCGTCAGAAGCTGCCGGACAACTTGAAGCAGCTCTTCAGACCGGCCAGCGCCTCAAGCGGACGGCCGCAACGCTATAGCTTCAAGAAACCAACGTGTGAGTGCAGATAAGGACAATATGAACTCCCGTTAATCTCCGTACCAAACTGACACGGGAGCCCGCAGCTAGTTTTTCCGCCGGTCCGCTGTGTTGTCCGAGGTGGCTATGAGCGTGCCGGACAACGAGCTGATCGCAGAGGTGATGCTCTTCGCGGAGGGCTTCGGAAGCGCCAAGGCCGGGCGCTCTCTTTCCAAGGAGAGTTGGTGCAAAGGAAATCGAAAGCCACCCATGGTCTCATGGTCTGATGTTTCCCCTTTTTGCGGGTTCGGTTTTGTTGCTGGGCGTCCCCCATTTTGACGCCAGCCCTTTCCTTTTCAACCAGGTCCTGGCCCAGAAGATCGTGTCTCTCTTCCTGCTGTCGCGGCAGCTGCTCAGCGCGCAGCAGCACTACGACTGGGGCCTGCGAGCGCTGAAGCCCATTTTGACGCTGGCCGGGCGCCTGTTGCAGGACGCAACTTTTGTGAAACCAACTTTTGCTCCAGGGGCTTTCTTACAAAAGGGAACTTGAAGATTGGCTCTTCACCGGGAGCCCCAAGGTATCCGTCCTGGCACGAGGTGTGAACAGTTTAAACATCGTCCCAGGAGGCGAAGGCCGCGCAGAGCGAAGCGTTGAGGGAGGACGAGGAGGCGGTGCTGCTACTGAAGGCGGTGAGGATGAACACTTTGTCCAAGCTCACGTTTGCCGACTCCAGGCGCGCAAATCTTGCTGAAACTATGCCATGGCCACCTAAGGAGAACCCAAAGGAGGATGCTCAAGCAAAAGGGGTTTGAATCATATTAATATGCTTAAACAGGGGGTTGGCCACACCCCTGACTCAGGCGCTTCCAAGACCTGTGTGTGGACCTCTTCCCTGGTATCAATGTCAGGGATATTGAGTACAAAGAATTGGAGGCGGTGATCAGAGAGACTGTCAGAGAAATGCACCTGGCTGAGATTGACACACAGATCTACAAGATGCTGCAGTTCCACGAAGCCTGCCAGCAGCGCATGGGTGTTGGGATCGTGGGACCATCCGGCTGCGGCAAATCAACTATCTGGAAAGTGCTGGAAACAGCATACAAGAAGCAGGGCAAGAAGTACGTGGTTCATGTGATGAATCCCAAGTCCATGCACAGAATCCGACTGCTCGGGCACATGGACCATGATACCCGGGAATGGTTTGATGGAGTCCTGACAGCCAGTGCACGAAAAGTCATCAAGGAGCCTTCGACAACCCACAATTGGATTGTTTGCGACGGGGACATCGACCCGGAATGGGTGGAAAGTTTGAACAGTGTCTTGGACGACAACCGCTTGCTGACGATGCCCAACGGCGAGCGTATTCAGTTCGGCACCAATGTGAACTTCGTCTTCGAGACGGATCACCTCCGGTTCGCATCTCCGGCCACCATCAGCCGCTTGACCATGATCTTCCTGTCTGAAGAAGACGTGGACGTGAAGCCTTTGGTCGCTCGGCTGCTTTTTGCTGTGACCTTTGGCTTCTTCACTTGTTCGAACATGACAGTCACCAAGTATATCACCACTCACCAAAGTTCACCCAAAGAAGGTGGACCGCTTTTTGCAAGTCCCCATCAGAGCAAGGTCACCTCCTGGATCCTGAAGCAGCCAGAGGAGCGCCAGGCGCAGCTGGAGGCCTGGTTCGACGAGCTCTTCTACCGGGCCTTGGAGTGGCTCTACAAAGGGCCCAAGGAGATGGCCATTGAGACCACCCGCATGGGCATGGTGAGCAACGTCTTGGGCCACCTCAGCAGGGGTGAGGCACCGGGGGAGAAAACTGGCAACCCCGCAAGCAAGCGTTGATGCGTTGTCTCTAAGCAAACGCTGCACAGACATGATGGTGTGTAGTCGTGTGCCACCATGGGGAATCAAATCACGCAGTACTCCCGGTCGGACGATGGCACCCTGATGAAAGATGTTCGGCCCGAGGACAATTTCATAAATGAGCTGTGCCAAAACTCGGCGAACAGGCTCCTTTTGTCACGGGACCTGTTTGTTTCTGCCATCTTTCCTGACGTATACATACATCATTTCGGACACAGTTTGTATTTGCGGCATTTCGGACGCAGTTTGTATTTGCGGCGACGAGCTTTCCCAAAGTCGAACGCAACATCAACATATCCACTGGCATCAACCCATCCACCTACCTGTGCCCGCCCATCCGCCCATATCAAGTCCAACCCCCCGGGAAGAGGCACATTGCGGCTGCCTTTCTGCGCGCCAGGAGTCGGAGGATGGCCGCGGCATCACCAAGCAGAACTTCCTGCTGGCCATCTGCCGGGGCCTGGGCGGCAACGTCTCGGAGGAGGACCGGGCAGCCTTGACTCGGGAGGCCTTCAAATGGGCCAACGAGAACATGCCCGACCCCAGCCAGCCGTTGCATTGCCAGGCCGGGCCAATAGGGCTAGGGGACGGGTCGAGGGAGGGGTGAGTGGGCTGGAAGTGGCAGACTGGCTTTTAGTCGCTGCTGGCCGAAGTCTCTATTACTTGGCTCCTCCCTCATTTGCCCTATCCGTATGGACGCCTGAATCATTGAACCGCCGAAACTGGTCCCAGCTCACCCGACCGATTCTAGTTCCCAGCATTTGAGGGAACCGTTGGCAATTTCCTTTATTTTGTAAAAACAAGTTGGGGTATGGCCGGAAATGGACAGCTTGTTTGCTTGGACCGTCACAGGTGGTGGAGTCTTTGATCGTGGGGTACCAGCTCTCCTCCGCGACCTCGGAGATCACCTTGGAGGAGGTGCAGAGATCTGCGGTGCTGCCGCCGCTGGTGCCCACCTCCACGGTGCTGCGGAACATGGACCTCTTCTCCACTTGGCTGGCTCAGGACCCGCCCGATTTTCGGGAAGCCTTTGGTGCTCCGCTGGTTAACCAAAGCAGTTTTGCCTTGGTTTCCCTTTGGTTTGCATTGAGTTTCCCTTTGCTTACCCTCCCGCCTTCCAGAAGGACCCCTCCTGCAACATGGCCTTGGACAAATTCCGAGCAAAATACACATGTATGATTTCACATTGACATGTTGAACTGAGTTTCCATTGGCTAAATCGGATAGGTGGTGCTTGAAGGGGCTGTCACTCATGTCCCTGTCTCTTGGTGGGTTTGGACAACAGGAGCAGCCCTTCATCGTGAGCGGCCCCGAGGGGGCGGGCAAGAACCTGCTCATTCGCCACGCGATCCAACGACTGCAGAACGAGTCGGACGCCTCGCTGAATGTGGCGGTGCTTAACTGCAACGCGCAGACCTCCTCCAAGGAGATTTTTCCCGAAACTCGTGTGTCAAACATTCTGAGGGTACGCTGTTTGAGGTTTGGTGGAAGGGGAATCAGAAGGAACACCACTTTGGGGTCCTACTTCGAGACAAGCCCAAATCAGGTGGAACCCAAACGGTTTGCTGCTTGGTGTGCCTTCGCCATCCAAAAGCACTGCTTTCAGGACGTGCTTCAGAAGCTTCGCCAGTTCTGTAGCATTTCCACTGGCAACACGGGGCGCATCTACCGGCCCCGGGAAGGCAGGAGGCTGGTGCTGTACTTGAAGGACATCAACCTGCCCACTCCGGACAAGTACGACACCTCTGAGATCATCATGTTCCTGCAGCAGGCGGTCATGCACAAGGGCTTCTATGATGATGATTTGGAGTTTGTGCAGCTGGAGCACATCCAGATTGTGGCTTCCATTGCGCCAGCAAGCACTCTTGGGCGACATCGCCTTGCAACTCGGTTCACTGCCAATGTGCGGGTTTGCTCCATCTCCTATCCAACATCAGAGGAGTTGGTGGAAGTCTACTCGCACTTCCTTCGAGCGACTTTGTCCGCTCCGCACTGGCAAGGAGTGGCCGATCGAGCACATGGCCTGTGCGACAAGGTTGCGGAAGCCATGGTGGACATCTACTCCAACATGAAGGCCAAGTTTACGGTGGACGACCACGAGCACTACCTGTTCAACCCCCGGGACCTCACGCAGTGGATTCTGCAATTGCTGCGTTACGAGGTAGTCTCAGTGGAGACCTTCATTGAGGCCTGGGCCTACGAGGCTGCCAGGATCTTCCGGGACCGTCTGGTGGGGGACGAGGCCAAAAACCACTTCGACGCTTTGCTGCGCAACGCGCTGATCCAGTACCTGGGCATGGACGTGGAGGTGGACAAGCTGATCTTTACCTCGATGCTGACTCAGAATGAGGAGGGCGTGCCAAGCGGGGAGATGAAGAAGGTGACCATAGAGGACAGGGTTATGACCCGACATGACACGACCCATAACTTCCCTGCAAGGGACACCCAATGGACCTTGTTTACCGCGATGCACACTACGTTCAAACTCCGGATTGACCACGTTTGACCCATCTACTCGGCGCGAGGACTACATGAAGATGGTGCAGAACGGGCTGAAGTCGTATCAGCGGGAGGTCAAAGATCTGGACATCGAGTTGGTGCCCGAAGTCTTGGAGCAGCTCAGCTGGATGGATCGGGCCCTGGCGGCGCCAGTGGCCAGCGATCTGCTGGTGGTGGGCCGGTCCGGCGGGGGTAAGCGCTCGGTGATCTCCCTGCTGGCGCACATGCACCGCCTGGCCGTCTTCAGTCCGGCCCCTGCCCGGCGCTATGGAGAGAAAGAATGGAAGAGGGACCTGAAGCAAGTGATGCAGATGACTGGCGTGGCTCCTAAGCAGAAGTGAAATGACTGGATTTGTCCTTGTCTTGTGGGGGGAGTATACTTGAAGCCTGGCAGCTCTTTGGTCGTGCCTTGTCCAGGAGAAGCAGCCGACCATCTTGTTCCTGGAGGATCACCACTTGCTGAAGTCGGAGTTTTTGGAGTCCATCAACTCCCTGCTCAGCGCCGGGGACGTTCCAGGCATTTGGACCCCCGAGGAGCAGGGTGCGAGCCAAGACGTTGTTCAAACGTGCTTAAGGCACTGTTCCTCTTTTTGGTTTCCCGGTTGAGTTGAAGGGAACCTCAGACAACATCCTTTTGGTTTCCCTTTGAGACTATTAGATTGGTAGAGTTTATCAAATTGGTTGTTGAACGCGGGAATTGATAATTTTAGTAGTGGTTGTCCAACGAAGGCTGGTTGCTTCAACATGTTTCAACCATTTGTGTTTAAACAATTACCTGGTCTCTTGTTTGCACAATAAAAAGAGGTCCCCTTTAAATGAGAGAACAATGGAAAAAGGGGACCATGTCTGTTTCCGTTTTTACTCCGAGGAGCTCGAGCCGCTGCTGGCGCCGCTCAAAGAGGAGTGGGCCGCCGCCCAAGGCCGTGGCGGGGGTGCCAGGACGCCCTTCGAGTACTTCTGCAACCAGGTGAGGGGTGAAAACGTTGGCCGGGGGGGGGGGCAGGCAGGGTTCTGTGGAGTTTTTAGGGTCTGGGGAAAATGGATGTGATCAGCAGGGCTGATTGATCAAGAGGGTTAAGATAAATTTCGCCTTTGGTTTATTTTGAAACTTCACCGAAAGGCCAAGTGGAAGAAATAATATCTTCTTGTAGTAATGTTTGAGTGGCAATGCAGGGTAAGGTTTTGAGTTTGCGATCCCCCTTTCGTATCAAGCGGGGGTCATCCCACGCCGGATGGGGGGAATAACTGAGCACAGGACATTTGAAAAGCCTTACTCAGTTTGATTAAGAGTGGATAGCAAAGAAAAGGGCACCCTGCCAAATCAGAACTTTTCAGGGACCATGATCAGTTTTTCAGGTTCATGAAGTGTGCTTTGAGCCATGAATTGCGACTCACGCACCTGTCAGGTGCAGCAGCGCTTGCATGTGGTCCTGTCCATGGACCCCTCCCACCCTCATTTCCTGCCCTACTGCGCGGCGAACCCGGCGCTCTTCTCGTGCACTACGGTGCTTTGGCTGGACGAGTGGTCCGAGCAGAGCAAGACCATCATCGCGCAAAGGATCCTCGGGGAGGAGATCTTGGACTCCAAGAGGACGACTCTTCACTTAGAGCGCGTCTAAAACGGTTTGCTCCGTCCGGCTTCCGGTCTTGTCCGGGGTTTCCGGAAGAGTCCCGCTGTAACTGACATGATGCAAGTTATGAATGATGCAAATGATGCAAATACAGGGGCCGCTGAGCATTGGGAGTTGTTTGGACTGTGCCGCGTCCAAGGAACTTGGGCCCCATGCTGCAGTTCATCCACGCCTCCCAGGCCGCGAAGGGCGCGTGCCCCCGGCATTTCATCACGCTGCTCCAGGCGTGCAGTGACCCGAAGTGAAGCGTGGACGGTCCCGAGTCCCAATAGGTTCCGAGAATCGGACTGGATAATTGGGAAGTGGCTTCCTTTGTTGTAGTCCCACTATTGCTGCGGATATCCGGCCCTGTGATTCTTTCCCTTGCGGACATCCGCCGTCTTGATTCTTTGCATACTTGCCAGACAGGGGAGCCAAGGGTCCAGGGGTTCCAGCTCAGGACATAAAAGAAACCCCTTCCTCTACGGCCCAAAACAAACACCGAGCTGGCAGGCGTGCCACGCCATGTACTCGGCCAAGATCTCCACGGCTTCCGGCCAGAGCTCGCACCTGCAGAAGGGCCTGTTGAAGCTGCAGGAGGCCACCGAAAAGCCGTCCCTAGCATCTCCCGGGGGATAGCTTCATTCTGAGAAGGAAGCTAAATTCAGAAACCAGGAGACGTCCAAGGTAAAGCCAATGGAAAGCCAAGGGAAAAGCCAAGGGAGACTTAAACATCACCTCCTGGGGCCCCAAGGTGACTTTGCTTTGGGTGATACTTTAAGGAGAAATGTAGGGAGCCCTGATGGGCGGGTTCCTACATCTTTTGGTTGGACCCCTCGAATCCCTCATTTGACTGCGGGCAAACACTGGCAGGTGAGCCAGACCGTGGAAAAGCTTCAGGAAGATGCTATCGCCAAGCAAACGGTCCTGGAGGAGAAGAAGATCCTGGCGTCAGAGGCCAGTGGAAAAGTAGGTTTTGTACTCATGCGAATGGGAATTTGCAGAATCCCACTCTGGAACCACTTCCGGGTTCTTTTTTCGAGCGTCCGAGGCCCTGCAACGGATCACCGCCGCCATGCAGCGCTCCGCGGAGCGAAGGGCGGAGGTGGAGCAGTTGGAAGGCGTCACGCAAATCGAGCAGGAGAAGAATTCCGCGGAGAAGGCGCAGATCGAGAAGGAGCCAGGGCCAATTGCACAAGCAGATTTCCAGAAGCTAAACCCTAGACGCCCCAGCTCCTTAAAGGGGGAACGAACGTGTGTCATGTTTTGGCTTAGGAGCTCTCTGAGATTCAGCCCATCTTGGATTCTGCCAAGAAGGCGGTGGGCAGCATCAAGCCGGAGCATTTGAATGAGATCCGGGCGCTGAAGATGCCCCCGGACCCCATCCACGATGTGCTGAACGGGGTGCTCCGCCTCATGGGCAACTTTGACAACAGCTGGACCTCAATGAAGAAGTTCCGTGCCCAAAAGAGAGCATCGCTTTACGAGTTGTCCAAAAAGCAAACCCAAAGAAAAAAGTTGTTTTTGAACACAGCCCGGGGAAGACAAAAGGAGTTCATTCAAAGAGACGGGCCATTTCTTTATCTTGGTAGTGTTTAAACAAACCCAGACCACCTCCCAACTTGACCTCAGGTTCCTGGCCGGCACCGGAGCCATCCAGCGCATCATAAACTTCGACCCCCGGCAGATCGATGAGCAGACACGGCACGACGTGGAGAAGATCTTGCGGGACAAGGCGTGCTCCAAGTTGGTTGCTTTTAGGTGCCTGTCGTGTCCAAACGGTTTCCCTCCAGGTTGTCTTCGTTTTTGGGGATGCCTAGGCCAATAGCTTCGACCATGCCACCATCTACCGCGTCTCCGTGGCCGCGGCACCGCTGGCCAAGTGGGTGGTGGCGTCCATCCGCTACAGCACCGTCTTGGTGAAGGCGGCTTTGTCTTTCTGGCTGGTTTTTGTTTTGAAAGGACACCAACATGTTCAATCTTTTAGACAAAGCCAGAGGGCAGCAATAGAAACCCTCAAGAGGCCCTCAAGTTGACAGAAGAAATCAAGTCAAAACGGAGACCAGGCTAGATGGGTAGGGTCGCCTGTGATGTCCTGTTCCAACGACACAATAGGATTCCCCCAGCCTGAAAGGAGTTTGCCACACCTTCAGGTAGCGCCCATGGAGACGAAACTGAACGACGCTCTGGCATCTCTGCAAGAGGCTGGGGAGATGTGGATTCTGCCAAGACTCTGCGGGAGCCCGCTGAGGGGGGAAGGGAAAGTAAAAGGACAGCCGCTCAAAATAGGGGTGTGGGGGGGGTGCATGTCTGCAACGCTAGGAAACAAATTGGACGGATGATTTCCGCTCAGCTCAGGAATTTCCTCCCGCTGCTGCAGCATGGTGAGCTTTCAACTTGAGTAACTTGAGCAGACGGTCCCCCTTTCTTGGTGAACCTCCAACAGGCCCCAACCACCTCTCAACAGGCCCCCCGCAACCACGTCCAATGAGCCAAAACATCACTCCCTTGGGTGTGAACGTTCAGACCCGGCCTTTTTTCCCCCTAACATCCAGGCGCACCCTTGTTTTTGCGCCTTTGGCGTTTTATCATTTTCTTCCCGGCCTCTCTCTCGTTCTCTCTCTCTCTCTCTCTCGTTCTCTCTCTCTCGTTCTCTCTCTCTCTCTCTCTCTGGGCACCTTGTTGGGGTGTCAGGCCCAGCAGAAGTTGGAGACCTACAAGGAGGAGCTGGTGGCCATCGACGCGGACGTGGCGCGCTTGCAGGAGGACTTCGGGGCGCGGACCCGAGAGGCGGAGGCGCTGCGGGTGGACCTGGAGCGGGCCACCACCACGCTAGAGAAGGCGGACAGCCTGATGACCAAGATGTCCGGGGAGAAGGACCCAGGGGGTAGAGAGGGAGAGAGGGGGGCAAGATCCAAAAGAGCAGGAGACATCCATGAAAACAGTCGCGCGGGACATGGGTTTTCGCACAACAAACACGAGGCTGTTTGATGACCAAAATGGCCGGAGGGAAGGGGTGAGGGATTGTTTCGTTTGAGTTCCTTTGACAAACACTGACATCTGAAACGTCCGGGGAGAAGGATTTCCCTAATTTGGAGAGATTCAGTTTGACGTAGCATTGTGCCAAAGTCAGGCGTGGAGGCATTTGGGCGTCTGGGAAAGATCCCCCTCGGTGCTTCCCCTTTTTTGCCGGAGCTTGGACGTGGGAAGCGCAGGATCGCTGGGAGCTGCAAGTGGGGGAGATCCAGCGCGACGCGGCGCTGCTGTCAACCCATACTTGCCTCTCTGCGGCCTACTGCACCTACCTGGGACATTTCTCGGAGGATATCAGACAGCAGGCGGCAAGGGGGGGGGGTAAGAGGGAAGAGTATGTATAATGTGCCGGGGAGAGGTCTGGGCATCAACATCACACTGAGAGCTGGCTTTCAGGCAGATCTTGTATAGGAATTGATTTCATAAAATTGCAAATCTTAGTCTGAGAAATTGGCTTCCAGGGGAATTTGGTAGGAATGAAATTGCAGATATTACAAATTAATTTGTAAGGTAAAGGAAATATTCTCCAAAATAACAAATATTACAAATTTTACAAATTCTAGTCTGAGAAATTAGCTTCCAGGGGAATTTGGTAGGAATTAAATTACAAATTTTACAAATTTTACAAATTTTACAAATTTTACAAATTAATTTGCAAAATTGGTAGAATATCAAAAAAATCTGGCCCAAAATTACAAATTTTACAAATTAATTTGCAAAATTTGTAGAATATCAAAAAAATCTGGCCCAAAATTACAAATTTTACAAATTTTACAAATTCTAGTCTGAGAAATTAGCTTCCAGAGGAATTTGGTAGGAATTAAATTACAAATTTTACAAATTTTACAAATTTTACAAATTAATTTGTAAAATTTGTAAAATATCAAAACAAATCTGGCCCAAAATTACAAATTTTACAAATTTCTCAGACTAGAATTTGTAACATTTGTAAAATTTGTAATTTTGGGCCATATTTTTTTGATATTTTACAAATTTTACCAATTAATTTGTAAAATTTGTAAAAGTTGTAATTTAATTCCTACCAAATTCCCCTGGAAGCTAATTTCTCAGACTAGAATTTGTAAAATTTGTAAAATTTGTAATTTTGGGCCATATTTTTTGATATTTTACAAATTTTACAAATTAATTTGTAAAATAAAATTTGTAATTTTGGGCCATATTTTTTTGATATTTTACAAATTTTACAAATTAATTTGTAAAATTTGTAAAATTTGTAAAATTTGTAAAATTTGTAAAATTTGTAATTTAATTCCTACTAAATTCCCCTGGAAGCTAATTTCTCAGACTAGAATTTGTAAAATTTGTAAAATTTGTAATTTTGGGCCAGATTTTTTTGATACTTTACAAATTTTACCAATTAATTTGTAAAATTTGTAAAAGTTGTAATTTAATTCCTACCAAATTCCCCTGGAAGCTAATTTCTCAGACTAGAATTTGTAAAATTTGTATTTTTGGGCCATATTTTTTTGATGTTTTACATTTTTTACAAATTAATTTGTAAAATTTGTAAAATTTGTAATTTTGGGCCAGGTTTTTTTATATTTCACAAATTTTGCAAATTCATTTGTAAAATCTGGAAATTTTACTTTGTACACATGTACTTGCGACATTTTGTGAAATGCTTAATTGTTAACCATATTTGTTGGAATTTGGCATAGTTCAGAAACTAATCTGCAAAATGTGTATAACTTGTAATGTAACTCCAGCCAAATCTCCCCGGAAAGCAAATTCCCCAGAGTACGTTTCAATGTCAGCAAACATCCGATTTAGAATTACAAGCTGGATTTGAACAAACATTGCTCGGGGGTTGCAAATTGCACAAGCTAGTTTGTAAAAAGTCGGTCCAGAATTACACAAATTACAAGTAAAGGTGTGAACATTGTAAACTTGATAAAACTTGATCACCGTCCTTCCCTTAACGGCTTTTTTTGGGTCAAGTTTGTTTCATTTTGAATCGGTTGAAGTTTGGTAAGGAAATGGGGAGGAAAGCATATTATCTTTTCATTTGGAATCTCTCTTTTCTGTTATTTCCATGTGTTTGTTTTTCTTTAGGATCTCGAATTCATACTCCTTTCTTTATCTTTCACTCTCTCCCCTGACCATTTCTTCCTACAATGAACTCAATAAACTAGGATGGAAAAGACAGGGATAAAAAAATAAACATAAGATAGGTAAAGGAGAGAGGACATCTTTTGCAACACGCTTCTTTTGGATAACTTTCATACCACACATACCTGATGGAGAAAGAGATGGAGAAAACCGTACAAATAGAAAGACATGGAAAGGCGACTGGGATTGTGGGATGGATTCATTTGTATCTCTTCTTTTTTTTCGCATACCAGGTTAGACCAATCGATGAAGGTAAGGGAAAGGGAAAGGTGTGAAAGAACAAAGAATGAATAAGAAAATCTTCCGCCCAGACATCACGCAGAATACACCAGATAGCCTGTCCGTGAGACTTGGAGGGTATGATGATTGAAGATTCCCTCACTATCCCTTTCCAGCCTGTCTTTGGGGCCTCTTCCAAATCATTGCCTGCTTCCTCTTGTCCATCCATCCTCATCCTTTATTTGCATTTATGGATGGGCAAGAAGTGACGAAAGCATTTGCAGGCAGTAATAATTACGGTAGAAAACGTATTATCCTCCCTTTCTTTTCAAAATCCTGTTTTATACAAGCTAACAACATAAAAAGGGCGCGAGACAGTTATGACAAAGCTAAAGATAATTATGGGTGGTGCTTACAGAAGCTATCTAATTTATTGCGTGCTAATACATGCTTCTAATCTTAAAACCATACTTACATTCCTCGTTCTTTTCTATTTTATTCTTCCCTTGTTGAGATTCATTGCGCTATCTTTCTTTGTGAATGCTTTTGGCTGTCCGGTCGTCGCTGGGGCTCACCGAAAGGAAAAAAGATTATGAGTAGGTCTTACTCATATTATTTTGCTTGTGTTTTACTATCTTTTGGACCTTTCATCCTTCCCCTTCTTCTGTTTCCCTTTTCAACCGTTGAAGAATGCCAGAAATCGAGGGGTGAAGGAAGGAGGGAGAAGCTAGCCCCCCCGTTCCTTCTTCTCCAACTGTATCGCTAGTGGGGAGAAGATAGGAAGGAGATCAACCGTTCCATCTTTACCTTTCCCTTCCCCACTACGTTCTGGAGTTCTGTCACTACGAAAGACTCACGATGGAACAGTCTAAAAGTGGGACGAAGGAAGGGGATATTGGCTTTATTTTTGGTTTATTTGTAGAAAAAGAAAGCCACTTTCCACAACCCGCTTCTTTCTGTAAAAAAACAGATAGAAGAAGATGACCTTTCCTTTCCCGGCCCAGCCAACGCTTGTCATTTTCCTTGCCTTGTCTTTTACATTGCCATGTTTTGGAAATGAAGAAGTAAAGCGTCTGGCAAGGAGGTAAGCGCCCATCAATACTAATTGAAGATACCGAACTGGATGGGCACTTACCATGTCTTTCCATCACTTCTTTCTTTCCTTTTGATGAAATTGAAGATTGAAAATGGGAAGTGAGAAGCCTCTCTTGACTTCTTCCTCAAGCACAGGCTGCTGTTAATCTTATGCCGTGTGATGCTTGGGAAGAAGAAGAAGAGAAGATAGGAGAGGGTGAACAGAAGTAACGTGATTCTTTCTTTTCCTCCGATCGCATCCTGATTTTCCCATGTATGTCACCCGCCAAAATCTTCAACCCATAAAGATTTGACTACAGAATCCTTAAAACCTGTTTAATAGCAAATGCTAGCGGTCTCTCTCTTTTGCTAATAATCTTCTGGAAATGAAAGGACAATAACAGAGTTTTAGATCATAGGATGGTGTAAGGACTGGGTTCTTCTCATCGTTGACGTCCTTCCTTGTCCAAGTCACGGAGGAAGAGAGGTTGGTTTGTGGTCCCAAGAGCTTGTATCCTTCCCTTTCTATCTCTTCCACTTCATCCAGGAAACATTTGTGGATGGACATGTCGTTATTAAGATCATTGCCTTTCGGTTTACCATCCCATTTATTGCTTGAATGTCTATCTTTGTTGTCTTCCATTTACAATATTATCTGAGAAGTATAGAAATGCTTCTGGGTGTGAGGTTGAAAAAATTGGCGATGTAAAGAAAATCACGATGGTTGGAACAGAAAGTTAATCATTACCAAGAATAGGTTCATAGTCTCTCATCTGCTGGTTGCATTCTCATGTACTTGTTCACTTTGCAACCTTTCTACTTGTTTATCTATCTTCCCAATCTCTCTTTCTCTCTCTCGCATTGTAAACGTTGGAGGCATCTGGATGGGGGAAAAAAACCCGGGGGGTAATAACAAATATGAAGAAGAGGAACTGGCTAACACTCCTTCTGCTCTCCCGTCTTTCGCGGCTGTCAGGATTAGTAAGAATTACGAAAAAGGCCTATGAAGAAACATAATAGAAACATAAATAAATAAACCAATAGGCAAATGACAGAACCAAGAACATGAAAGTAATAAAGAATGTTAATAAATGAAACGGTCTATTGGGAGACAAATTATTCTTGTCCATCAAGAACCCTCTCCAACACAGTGAAAAACCTAGAGTGGACAATGATGGATATGATAGAAAACGCAATAAGATAATAAAACGCAGTAAGCTATGAGATTACAACGATTCTGTAATTATTGCCTTTAAATTCACCCCGTGACCACTTCATCCCATTTACACAAATATATTGGAGAAGATATTAGTGCATGATGAAGAATAAACACAAATTATAACCATAGATAGTTTGCTTGACTCTGAAGAGGCTGTTGGTCTTTACTCATGGAGTTTATTTAGTTGTATCTTCTTTCTGCTTTTGTTCTATTAGAATTTCCTTGCAAAATCTCTCACTCACTTCCTATATCATTAGATATGTGCAATATTCTTGAGTTTTAGGTGAGAATGAAAAGGATATTAATAGTTCAAGTTGCTGGAGAAGGACGGAACACTATTTACGAAAGGCTATTTATTTACTAGAATCTCATGAGTAATGTTAACTAATTTGTATCGATTGGGGTTTATTTCTCACCTTCTCTTTTTAAGGGGTTTCCTTTTGCCTCCCTTCATCACTAGAAGTGACCGAAGGAAGTTAATAGTTTTCTCATCAGAATATTGCCTGTCCAAATAGAGTGATGAATGAAGAGACGCTTAACTGTTATTATTGCTTAAGTGACGTCTCACGGACAGGCTACGTCTCCAGACCCTTTTTATATCTCTCTGATTGTTCTTTCCTTTTATGTTTATTTGACCAGCATTTGTTTACTATTGACTTCTTCCTCACTGACATTCGATCTTCTCTAACTCTGTTATCTGTTACTGTGGCTTTAATCATTTGATTAACATTTTCCTCTTTCCATTTCCATGCTCTATCTTGGTGAGCTAGCAAACGTTTAATTTAGAAAAAATATGGAAGTGATAGATAGGAGGACATCATTATTTGTTTCTATTAATACTACTTCACGAAGGTATACCGTGTGCTTTTATCACACTCTCTCACAACCAAAGAGAGGATGTTCATCTGGTCTTCATCACCCCTCACCCTTTTTTTTCTATTACTACAAACTAGCTGGTTCTTTCAGGGTGGGGCATGCCAAGACATTCCTTTCTACTCTTGGGATTGCACCAAAAGAGTCCATGTGCAACAATGAGCCGTTCTGCTCTTGAAGGCGCGCGGCGGCACATTGTACGTAATCTTCCCTGCCACAGGGGGGGGGGGGGGAATTCCATGGGAAGGCAAGCTTTGAACACTTGCTTTGCAATTTGGGGCATGGAGAGCAACCTCAGGTTTCCTTAGACGCTTTGGCCATCAGTGCCCTTTTGACTCTTTCAGCTTTGGAATTTGGAATGGCTTTTTGCTGGTAGGTTCAGGGCGACATTTTTTCTCCCGTGATTTTTGTGGCACAACACCAAGCGCGTCCCAGCAACGGGAACAGACTGAGCTGCTGGCAAGGCTTGGAACCGACAAGACCGCTGCGGCGAGTATGTTGTTCGGTGTTTTTTTCTTCCCCGGCGGGGTGGAGGGGTTGCCGCCAGTTGCCGCTCTATCGGCTTGGCGGTTTGGAGAGTTGAATCATTCCCCAACAAA